CCATTCTCCAAGGGCGAACACTGTTTTTATGATTTTTTTTTTTTTTTGCCACCAAAGAGTAGTTTTTCCTATTCTAGACTTTTATATAAATGGAACCAAAGAGTATGCCCTATTTTGTGACTAGCTAATTTTGTTCAGCATATTTTTGAGGTTCATCAATGTGGCTGTACATATCAGCAGTTTATTCCTTTTTATTGCTGAGTAGTAGTCTGAGAATATTCTGTAGTGTATTTATGAATCTTCTGTTGATGGACAGATGTGCTATTTCCGACTTAGGCTATTATGAACAAAGATTCTATGAATATTATCCTGCAAATCTCTTTGTGGATATACGATTTCATTTCTTTTGGATAGATCCCTTGTAGTGGAATTGCTAGGGAGGTTGTATATTTAGCTATATAAGAAAATGCCAGATCTTTCCCCAAAGGGTCATGGGAACAATTTAATGTCTTAACTAAGTATAATCATAAATAACTAAAATTTACTGAATATTTTCTGTGAGCACTATGCATAGAACTTTACTCAAATACAGTATTTCACCTAATTCTCATATTCAGCAGATGCTATTATTTACATTTTGCACAAAGGATAATTGAGGCATAGAGAATTACATAACTGTCCAAAGTCACACAGCTAGTAAGTGGCTGAGCTTGGATTTAGATCTTGGCAGGTTAGATTCCTACTTCTATGGCTCATGCCTCCTAGAATATAGTAAGAAAAAATAATAAGATTTTTTTTTATTCTTTGGAGATAAATTTTTAAGAAGGAAAACTGGTCATAGTAACAAATTTTAACAAGAGTTAACAAGATAGAATAACAGGAAATACCATGCTCATCAATAAATAATGTAAGTGTAAATTGTGCTCTATCACGTGGGGTGTGGCATGTATGGTTCTCAGGAAGATAGACAAATGCATCTGTAAAGTACCTTTAGCCTCTGAGAAATTCTTCAAAGTTATCTTCAAAAATACCTCATCTCCAGCCCTGTGCAATCCATCTAGCTTCCCTTGAGAGTAAGTGAAGTGTTAAACTTCAGAGACTCTTCCCTGGGTTTGTTAAATGAGAGCTGCCACCTCTCCTCTATAATTAGGAGAGAAGCCCCAGGGTTTACTGGAGAGGTGGGTGTAAGCTGCCATGAGGTAAGGAGGCAGGAGAGTGTTTCCTCCCACGGTTTTTTTTCTCTAAACTCATAGAACCCAGATCTGATTTGCAGTATGTCTAGGAAACTTGAGGCGAGGGTGGAGGACCACAGGAAGCACACCTTTCCTCTGAGCTGGAACTCTGCCATCCTCACCTTCCTCTCTTTAACAAGCTCTCTAAACCAAAAAATGATGCTGCAGATTGGAGCTGTTGATGAGGGAAGGCTGGGAGTTCCCGAATCTTTTGAAATAGATATTAAGTCTGTAGTTTGACTGGCTCCTAGCCCAGGGGCCCACGGGAAAGCCAGGAGAGTGTGTGATGGTAGAAGTCTCGAGTTCTCCTCCTCCTTTCCCTTCTTCATTTTTCTTTTTAATGGTTCTGGGACATACCAAAGTAATTCCTAGGGAGACTCTTCTTGGTTCATACACACATCACATATACACTCACACATGTGTGCACACACATGTAAAGGCACACACACTCAAGTTTACTGGTTTATGATAAATAATATTGTAGAGGATACAGAGGAGGAGATGGGGTAAGGCAAGTGTGTGTAGGGGGTGCAGAGCTTCCTTGCGCTAAATCAATCATCAGGTCACATATTAGCCACTCTCAACCAAGCTTAGTCAAGACCGAGTCCACACTCCTTATGTGACCAATGGGGGACCCTGCTCACATGGGCCTGGCCACCCACTGGCCTGCTGCTTCTCTCCATGCTCTAGCTTTGAGAGTCATTGCTGGTCCCAGTGAATACCCATTTGACCACCCATCTGGTCTGACAGGAAGGCCTTTGTTTCCCCTTCCTCTTGCCAGGATTCTTATTTATCTTTGTAGGACTGAATTCAAGAGTCACAAATATGGTAGTTAGTTGTTTATACACACACTCCTTCTCTCCATTCTCTTTTAAACTCTGATTTCCTCCTTAGCAGAAATGCCTTATTTTACTTTGTATGTGTCATCAGCATATATCAGACATTCAACCAAAATTTTCCTAATATGCTGGACCTTTGATCAGCAACTTTTGAGTAAACAAGTGCTTTATTTGAACTACACTAAAAGGTAAATTATTTGTTTTCCTTGCTTTGCAGAGTGCTGATTTCACCTTGTAAAAAACAAACAAAAAACATTTTGCATAGGATGTTGAAAAAGACAATTTTTTATCAATGCTGATTTGAGTCAATTGTCCTTTATGTCTGCTGAGCTCCTGGTGAGTTTAGCACTGTCTGAAGTCTAGACGTCCATCAGAAAAATTTTGGGGAAATGTAGGCAAATGAGTATCCACAGGGACCAGCGTCAACCCTCTATAGAAAGCATGGGTGGAAGATGCAGCCAGCTCTCAGGGGGTCTGGTGATGGGAGGGGATTTGCTCCAGACAGGCATTTGTTCAGATCTTCCTGCCTTGGTTACTCTCCTGCTACATTTCACTGTGTCCCTCAGCTCTTGGGTAACTCTACCTCTCACCAAGTTTTGCAATTTGCTGTGGGCTTCAAAACCCTCTACTTTTTCCTCTACTGGAAGGAGCAGCAGGCCAGTGGGTGATTGGGCCCATGTGGGCAGGGCCCCTATTAGTCATCTAAGGAGTGTGAACTTGTTCTTGACTAATCCCAGTTGAGGCTGGCTAATATGTTACAGCAAGAGAGGGCATGGAAGCTCTGCATCCCTTCCCCTTGCCTTGCTACACACATCTCCTCATCTGTATCCTCTGTAATATCCTTTATGAGATGCTTTCAAAGCTATGGGTATGTCACAAATCTAAATGACAATAAGGATTTTTCTCTGGTAAAGTGTGGGAAAAAACTGGTGTCTCTGAAAATTGAACTTTGTGTGTGTGTGTCTGTGTGTGTGCGCGCGGGATTGAACCCAGGGCCTCATGCAGGCTAGACAAGCACTATCGCACTGAGCTACATCCCCAGCCCCTCAGTTTTCTTCTTTTAAATCTCCAGAATCCCTTCTCCTTTTCTCTCATTTGCCTAGATGCGAATACTACTTAAGCTGTATGTAGATGCCTCCAGTTTTGATTAAAGCCTTGCTGACTGGCATCTTGGGAACTCTGAGGGCCGATCATCCTTTTTATGTAGCATTTTCTGTTGACAAGTTCAGCCTTTGGCCTCCTTCCTCACTCAGGGAGGGGATGGAGTCTTGGATCCTCTCCTGTTAACTGGAAGGAACTGGGCATTGCCAAGCACCAAGCCAGGAAACTGACCTCTGCCGAGGAATGGGATCTGGGCAGCTGCGCCCTCAGAGCAGGGCTGGCAGCCAGCTCTCAGGGTGTCTGGCGGCGGGAGGGGTTCTTCTGCTCTACAATGGGCCAGCTTGTTCAGATCTTCCTGCCCTGGTTACTCTCCTCTTCGTGTCACTCTGTCCTTCAGTTCTACCTCTCACCAAATTTTGCAATTTCAAATCCCTTTACCTCTCCTTCCTCCAGGGCTGCATATTCCTGTAGAGTTAAAAGCCAACCAAAGAAGATTAAGTTTCTTTTATCTCTTTTTTATTTAGTCTCCATCTCTGACCTCTCTGACCTACATACCAAAGGGCTGTATTTTACTTAGAACCATTTTTAAAGGTCCACCAGTATGCCAGCATTCTGAGTTTAGGTTGCTCAGAATGACCTAGAAGCTGATAAAGAAGGCAGATACTCTTTTATCAGAAACATCACAATAACACATTCATGTTAGCACATGACTGGTCTCCATCTGAGGTAGCCCCTGGGCTTCTTGGTTCTAACAGAATAGATTTTTGTTGGTGTCCACCTGGTTTTTCTCCACACTGACACCTGTTTTTCTTTCTCCATACCGACACATTCTTTTTTTTTCTTAATTTCTATAATTTGCCTTATTTTGGTGAAATTTTCTCTTCTCTTTATGATGTTTTACTGTTTTTCTTTTTCTTTCAGTGTTGGGGATTGAACCCAGGTCCTCTCTGCATGCTAAGCAAGTGCTCTAGCACTGAGCCACACCCCCAGCCCCAAGTTTTATTTTCTGCATATCCTGCTCCTTGCTCCCTCTCCTGGCAACCTTTCTGTTCCGGGGGTTCAGCTAGGAGACTTGATGAATCACTGGTTTCCAGACTGCTAATCTGGGCGCAAGGGCAACTCAACTCTGCTAGGATTTCACCCCTGATCTAGCAGAATTCCTCACTGCAGGTGAGTCTTCATCCTCCCAGTTCAGTACTACTTCTTTAATCTGTGCCTCTGCCAGACAAGGAGGTCTTTTTTTCTCATTTTAATTCCTCAACTCTTTAGACTTCTCAGACAGATGGCTGCCCTAAAAATGGCAGATGAAATGTGAAGCACAAAAAGGTATTATAAGATGTTCCCTTGAGAATCTCTGATTATTCATATCAGCTGGAATTTTGTGGCAAGAGCACTACACTTGAGAATTAGAAAAGTTTGGTTGGTTGTGCAACGTCAGGCAAATCACTTACCTTCCCTGGGCTTTTCTTGTTCTCCTTGGTAAAATGGGACTACTTTGTGGGGAGTTGTGGAGATGAAAGGCTGAGCATGAAAACACTTTGCAAACTGTACTGAGACGGTGGAGTAAATGAGCAGGGCTGTTGTCCCCATTCTTCTTTAAATCGTTAAAAGGAAAAAAAACATTAAATATTGAGATTTGCTTCTGCTGGGTATCAACGAAAACTACAAGCTAAAAAAAAGGTGCAGAAATCCTTGTGGTAACATTTGGCTAAAACTGAGGGTGTCACTACTGTTAGGACTCTGTGTCCACTCAGGGTCCTAAGGAATTCGGACTCTTGTTTTGAAGAGCTGCTGCGATTCCAGTTCTAGGCTAAGGTGGCCCCGGGGCGGTGCTCTGGGACGTAGAATCACTGCAAGGTGTTTTCACTGTTCACTTCCCAGGGCGGCCTCAAGCCTGTTTTAAAAGGGTGTGTGTGGGCCAAGCCCAAAGCAGCCTGGGACACTGCAGACTGGCACCACCTCCTCTGGCTGTTTCTGAGGCCATCCAGAGGCCAGGGCCCGGTCAGATGAACTGAAAAGTCAAGAGAGGACTGCTGAGTTTGGGACCTTTGTGCAGACGTGCTCCCAGTGTGGAGGGTGGGACGGAGGAAGGGAAGGAGGGCGTTGAGAGGAGGCCCCACCTTTCATTCCAGCACAGTGCACCGGCGGGGCGGGATGAGTCACGACTGGCTTGCTCCGGAGCTCAGATTCCCGTAGGTGAGGGACCGAGACTCCCCTCTCGGGGAAAACGCGGCGCCCGCTCTTCCCGCACGGATCTTTGGCAGGTGCTAGAGCCCTGGGTCTGCCCGGTCTGGTCTCTGGGACCAGGGCTGGGTTTCCCTCATGTATGGCAAGAGTCCTGCGCGCCTGGTGCCTCTCCTCCTTGGCTTACAGCTCACAGGTAAGACCTGGTGGCTCCTCCCGTTTCCTCCTTTATTGCCCACACAGCCAAGATAGTTAATTGTAGAAGAAGTCGCCGGAGTTCTGTGTAGGAGCCCAAGACACAGTTGCAGTTGGTTTTGGTTTGGACTTTACTGAAGCTGTAGTTGTTTGGGGGGAATTGTTTTGGACAAATAAGTTTCGGTGTGTTGGCTGCCAGTGATCCAGGTACAGAGAGGGCTTTCTAATCTCAGGTTACACACCATGTTTGTGTAGCTGTTCTCAGCCTCCTGCTGCTGGTAGGACTTGGCACTTGATTTCTGTGTGTGGGTCTTGTGTGGAACTCTGCGCAGCACCGGGAAAACCAAGACTGTTAGAGGAGACCCACCGCGGTTTTGAAACTGCCCCAACACACACATTCTGAACGTCAATATCATGGTAAAAATGTGCCACGTGGTATAAAGGTCCCAGGGTGCAGGCAAACACAGACTGTGGGCAGCTGACAACTTCTGCAGAAGACTAGTAACTGTAGGAAACCTACATCATGAGAACTCTCTGGAAAACTTATCTGCTAGGAAGTTTAATTCTGGGCTCCTGATTTTAATATTTGTAGTTTGTTATAGCACTTCTGAAGTCAGTGTCCTGAGGCCGTGGAAGCACTAGGAAGGTTCCCCATGTGGTGTTTGAGCTGTGAGGGGATGGGAGCTCAGGGCTGCCTGTAGGTGGGTGGGACTGTGGGTGAGTAAGCTTGAGAGCTGGGCATCATGGGTCTGCCTTGTTCCCTACTCAGTCATTTATTTTGAAAGTGTCATAATCCTCTCAAGCCCACATCCCCTGTTAACCCTTCTTACTCCTTTAACTGCAGCTCTTTGGCCTACAACAGCTGTGGAAATTTACACCTCTGGGGCAGTGGAGGCTATGAACGGGACAGATACTCGGTTAAAATGCACTTTTTCCAGCTTTGCTCCTGTGGGTGATGCACTAACAGTGACTTGGAATTTCCGTCCTCGAGATGGGGGGCCTGAACAGTTTGTAAGTAAATCATTGTCATTAATTTCTAGGGGACCCTTGGTCAGGCATTAAACCAGTGAATTTCTTTTCACCCTTCCTGTATTTTTCTTAGCAACAGGCACAGGGATAAGATGGAAAACAATTCTTGGGACAGAGACTGACAGAACTGGACAGAGGCCAGTGGAGGGGGAAGAAAGATTCCTATGAGAGAGCTGTGGATGGGACAGCTGGGCTTGCTGTTGTTTCTCTTCTGCCCCCATCATCGCAGCCTCCTTGCCTGGGTATTGAATAAGCGACATTTGCTTTTCCCCTCTCCAGGTATTCTACTACCATGTGGATCCCTTCCCACCCATGAGTGGGCGGTTCAAGGACCGGGTGGTCTGGGATGGGAACCCTGAGCGGTACGATGTCTCCATTCTTCTCTGGAAACTGCAGTTTGATGACAATGGGACATACACTTGTCAGGTGAAGAACCCACCTGATGTTGATGGGCTGGTAGGGACAGTCCGGCTCAGCGTTGTGCACACTGGTAGGTTATGTGGCGGGGGGGAATGGGGTTTTGGGAGTGAGAGAGCTGGTAGGAAAGAGAGGCAATCTCTTGTTATGGTTGAAAGGGTAGAGAGGGGGCCTAGTGCTGGGAACTACAGAGGGAGACTAGGAGTCCTAGGGTAAAAAGAGAAAGGCTTTGTTTGGTTGTGGAAAGAAACAGAGAGTAAAGCAAAAGGATCCAGGGAATGTGTAACAAAATGGCATTGAGATGGTAAAAGGGAGAGGAAGCAACTCTCTGATAAAAGGCCAACAATAGGTCTGTTCATTCTCTCATTTATTCAAGATACTTATTGAGTTCCTGCTGTGTACCAGACACTGTCCAAAGTGCTCAACATGTCCTATCTCACTTCATCCTCACGCCATCCTCAGAGACAGATATCAATAATAGCAGCTAACGTTTATTGAGTACTTTCCACCTGTCCTTACATGACACATTCTATTTGTGCTTTACATTTCTCATCAGTTTATTTTGCACTTAATGTCTCTCATTTTACCAACAAAGGAAATTGAAGCTCATAGAGGTTGTCACTTGCCCAAAGTCATGTGGTTGGAAACTGGAGTAATTCTGGACTCAAACCCAACCATCTTTGACTCTAAAATTGTACTGTAAACTAGTGCATTGTATTGCCTGCACCCCTCTGAAGAACAACCTGGAAAATGGTGGCAGGTCACAAAGAACAAAAATCACAACAGTTTTGAACTGCTGTAGAACTGTGTGTGAGTCATGGCTACCAACTGCAACTACATGGATCTTATTTTGCTCACCTACAAATTGGAGGTAATAATATGATGATTATGGTGAGGACAAATTGAGATAATAAATGTGAAAATCTCCTAAATGCTGACCTGTACTGAAAAATTACAATAGCTACCATATATTGAGTGCTTATTATGGGCAGGCACAGCATGAAATGATTTACATGTATTGTTTTTATTTTTTATAAGAATTCAAGAAATGGATATTGTTACCTCTATTTTATACAGGAGGAAACTGAGGCTAAAGAGAGTTAATTACCCCAAATCACACAAGAAAGAGCTGTGTAACCTGGAGAAGTCATTTGAATATTGAAAGAAGAAATATAATGCCTCTGGACCTCAGTTTCTTCTCAGATTAGACAAGAAATCATTTGTTCTTAAACTTATCAGAATCACTACTCTTGAGAATCTAATGAAAGTCATGGCCCTGTTTCCCACAAAAAATGGGAAAAACACACGTTTTTGGTACTGTGGATCATCTCTTCATTCTCCATCCTTCTTGATGGGCTCCAGGCTGGAACTCCTGAGCTACACATTCTCTAATGTCCTTTCTGGATCTAATGGTTTATTGAAGTTTCAATTAGATCAAATTAAGGAACAGGAGAACCAGGTTTCAAAGACTATGATCTTTAGGGGCTCCTTCCCCTGGGCTCCTTCTTTCACCATTTATCCACTAGTTACTGATCTACTTGCCTGACTTCTGAGGGGGTGGCAAGAGCTCCTTGAGAGTAATGTCCTTTTTGGCTTTTCATTTGTATCACAGTACCTGGAGTACAGTAGGACCTTAATAAATCTGAATAAATGACTGACTGAAGGGCAGAGGTGAGATGGGGTGAGGAGAAATGGGTTGGGCCCTAGATTTGGTTAGGTTAGCAATAATCCTACCCCATTAGGCAGTTAGCTGACTTAGTGATTCTCAAAACTATAGTATGTATCATAATCACCTGGGGACAACTTAAAAAGCAGACTATTGGGCCCCACCCCTATTGTTTCTAGCTCAATAGGCCTGGGGTGGGGCCTGAGAATTTTCATTTCAAAGTTCTCAAGTGATACTGTTGCTGCTATTCCTCAGATTACATTTTGAGAAGCACTAAAGTAGACTATGTGACTTTCCCACTGCTGCTAGAATTTACAAGGTCATAGGGTATTTTTTACATAAAGGTGGGAGAAAGGAAGATTCCATTTAATGATGAAATGTATCCCATTTATGTCTTTAGATTTCTTCACAGTTCTATTCTTAGAATCCCCAGTTGATCACTTGATCTTTTTCTCCTCGTAGTACAGTTCTCGGAGATCTACTTCCTGGCTCTGGCTATTGGCTCTGCCTGTGCACTGATGGTGATAATAGTAATTGTGGTGGTCCTTTTCCAGCATTTCCGGAAAAAGCGATGGGCTGAAAGAGCTCACAAAGTGGTGGAGATAAAATCGTAAGACTGGGAAGTTACGGGAAAGTCTCCTTCTAACACCTTCTTATGGTGACTCCTGGTATTTTGAAATGGGGCTAAATAATTGTTGAACACACGTTCTTGCTGTTGAATAAATCCTACGTAAAAGACTTCTAAGTCACAGGACAGATAATATTAACTTGACAAAAGCTTTCTTGATCTTTACAAAAAGATTTCATCATAGGATTTCTTTACTATGTGGAATTTCACATCATAAAAATCTGTTTATGTGAAGCTTTTCTAAAATATCCCCTACTCATTTAATTTAGCATTACTAGGGATTAAGCCCAAGACCTTGAGCATTCTCGGCACATGCTCTACCACTGAGCTACATTTCCAACTCCTAAAATATCCTTTATTTTTAAAGTGAAGCATTAATGCTTAAGAACAAAGGGTCACTATGAATCAGTGCATTAGAAAGGGTGCTGTGCTGATAGTAGGTGCTCAATAGACCTGTTTTAAAATTGACATAAAATTCACCCTTTTAATATTCACAAAGTTGCTCAACAATCACTGCCAATTCCAGAACCTTTTAAACATCCCTCCAAAGAAATCCCATATCCTTAAGCCATCACTTCCTAGTTTCCCCTCCCACCAACCCCTGACATCTATTATCTATGAGGGATTTGCTTATCCAGGATATTTCCTATAAAAGGAATCATAAAGTATGTGGCCTTTACATCCAGCTTATTTCACTTAGTATATTTTCAAAGTACATCCATGTTGTGTTATAGCACATATTGGTACTTCATTCCTTTTTCTTTCTTTCCTTTTTTTTTTTTGGTGCTAGGGATTGAACCTAGGGTCTTGCATATGCTAGGCATGCACTTTACCACTGAGTCACACCCCAGCTCAGTACTTCAATCCTTTCAATGGCTGCGTGATTTTTCATTGAAATGGGTATATCACATATTGTTTATTCATTCATCAACTGATGCGCATTTAGTTTTTTTCCTTCTTTTTGGCTGTTATAATAAATGTTGCTATGAACATTCATCTATAAGTTTTTTTCATAGATATATATATATATTTTTTTTAATTCTCCTAGGAGTGAGTAAAATTGCTGGGTCATATGGGAACTCTGTTTAATTTTAGGAGGACTTGCCAGACTGTTTTCAAAACAGCAGCATATTACATTCCTATCAGCAATACATGAGGATTCTAATTTCTCCATGTCCTTTACCAACATGGGTTATTGTCTTTTTAATGATAGCCATCTAGTGGACATGAAGTGGTATCTCACAAGATTTTGATTTGAACTTTCCTAATGACTAATGATGTTAATTTTTTTTCTGTGTTTAGTGGTCATTTGCATATTTAATTTGGAGATATTTCTTCAGATAGTCTCTCCTCCTTAAAATTGGATTGGCTACCTTTTTTTTTTTTTGGTACTGGGGATTGAACACATGGGCACTTTACCATTGAGTTGCATCTCCATCCCTTTCTTATTTTTTATTTATTGAGACAAATTCTCACTAAGTTGCTGAGACTGACCTAGAACTTGCTATTGTCTTTACCTCAGCTTCCTCAGTTGTTGAGATTACAGGCATGTGCCCCTGTGCCCAGCTGATTACTTTTCACTGTTGAATTGTAAGAGTTCTTTATGAATTTTGGAAACTAATCCCTTATTGGATACATGACTTGCAGTTATTTTCTCCCATTCTCCCATTTTTTTAACTTTCTTTTTTAAAAAAATTTTTTAGTTTTCAGCAGACACAACATCTTTGTTTGTATGTGGTGCTGAGGATCGAATGCCCAGCGAGCGCGCTACCGCTTGAGCCACATCCCCAGCCCCTTTTTTAACTTTCTTGAGCACTTTCTACTCAGAGCAGAAATGTTCCACAGTTCTATGGGTCTGAAAAAGCCCCCTCTGGTCAGACAAAAGATTGAAGAAGTTATGGATAACAGGAAGTGCCTGTCTGACAGGTAATAGTTATGCAAGGAACATTTTTTAACATTATAGATTGGTACCTGTTCCTAGGAATCAGTACAGGTTACCATGTGGAATTTGAAAATATATGGAGGTGTATGTGGAGACATCCGTAATATCTCACTCAGTCTGTGTTGAACCATTTGGTCCTAAGGTATAAAAGTTTTTAAATTTTGATGAAGTCCAACTTGCCTGTTTCTTCTTTTGTTGCTAGGGTTTTTGTGTCACATTTAAGAAATCATCATCATGAAGATTTAACAACATCATGAAGATTTACACCTACATTTTCTTCTAAGAGTTTTATCATTTTAGTTCTTACATTTAGGTTTTTGATCCATTTTGAGCTAATTTTTGAATATTGTTGAGCTAGGAGTCCCAATTCATTTTTTGGATGTGGACATATAGTTGTCCCAGAATCATTTGGTTCTTTTCCTCAGTAAATATTTGCTAAAACAAATATAATTGATTTTAAGGAGTCTAAGGAAACCCACCTCTGAGGTTCTGGTTTGAATAGAACATAATTAATAAAGATAACTTTTTTCCTCAGTAAATATTTTCTAAAACAAATATAATTGATTTTAAGGAGTCTAAGGAAACCCACCTCTGAGGTTCTGGTTTGAATAGAACATAATTAATAAAGATAACTTTTAGGTCAACATAAAACTTTTTCTTTTATGAGCAGGAGTAGAAATAAGACTTAGCATTCTAATGGTAAAGTAAGGTGTTTGCTTTAAGCTTCTGGAGTTCCCAAATCAGGTTCCAAATTGTATTCCCTCATATTCTGAAGAGTCTTGGTTCGTTTACCCAGGGTCAGGTGGAGGCATAAGTATTTCTAGTCAGTTGGCAGTAGCTGTTTAATGCTAAACTAATCTACTTCCAGTTGAGTGTAATTCTCAAAAAAATGGGGGAGAAAATACAGTACCTGAAAAATATTTGCCTCCCTCCCAATTTTGTTTACCTGACATTTTTTTCCTGCTTTTTTGTTACAGAAAAGAAGAGGAAAGGCTCAACCAAGAAAAGGTCTCTGTTTATTTAGAAGACACAGACTAACTTTCCTAGATGGTGAGGCTCAAAATGGGTTCTCTCTTTTCTCAGTTTTCTGACCTGTCTGGTCCACCTATATCATGGATTGCCCAGATTACTTTATATGGTCATTAGGTATTTCCTATATGAAATTAGAGGTTCCCAGTCAGGGTTCCAGGCTCATGAATGGCTATGAATTTTGTACAAAGGATTAAGAAGCTAGACTCCATTGCCATTAAAGCTAAAAGAATTCTTTTTTTTAAGCTTTGGGGTTATATTTATCACTACCAAGAATAAACTATCAACATGTAAATAAATCTTTTTTTTTTTTTTTGTGTGTGTGTGTGTGTGTGTGGTGTTGGGGATTGAACCCAGGGCCTTGTGCATGAGAGGCAAGCACTCTACCAATTGAGCTATATCCCCAGCCCTAGTCTTTATTTTTTATTTTTTTTAGTTGCAGTTGGGTACAATATCTTTATTTATTTTTATGTGGTGCTGAGGATCAAACCCAGTGCCTCACATGTGTGAGGTGGGTCCTCTACCACCCCAGCCCTAGATTTTTCTTTTTTTTTTTCTTTTTTTTTTTTTTGAGAGAGAATTTTTAATGTTTTATTGTTTAGTTCTCGGCGGACACAACATCTTTGTTGGTATGTGGTGCTGAGGATCGAACCCGGGCCGCACGCTTGTCAGGCGAGCGCGCTACCGCTTGAGCCACATCCCCAGCCCAGCCCTAGATTTTTCTTCTTCTTTTTCTTTTATTGTAAACCAGTATGGCATTAAGAGAGTGACTTAAAAGATCTGCCTGGTATTTTGACTGGAGAAATTTTGCATTATTTGGAACTGGTTTCACTCCTCTAAATTAGTTATTGCTCTATAAATCTAGTTTAGTGAATAACTTTGTTTTTCCAGCTTTCAGGTTTATCAGGCTTAAAAGGTAGGATGATTTATTTTTCCTATGCTCAGAATTTCTCCCATTCTCTGAAGTAGGACTACACGTTTAATTTCTAGTTATTGTAAATCAAGACATGTAAACTGAATTTTATACTATCAGAATATTTTTGACATTAATTACTTTAATCTGTGAAACTCAGTTCAGGTCACCTACATGGCAGGAACTTTTTATAGACTGTTATTAGTTGTAAAGAGAGTCACATTTTATATGCTACAGCTCCATTGAAAAACCTCACGGATTTATAAAATAGAATATGAATAAATGTGATTGGATTGTAAAAACAAAACTGGCCAGATGGGTGGTGCATGTCGGTAATTTCAGCTATTTGGGAGGCTGAGGTGGAGGACTGCAAGGGGGAGGTAGCTCAATGGCAAAGTGCTGTAAAACCAATACAAAACTAAACAACCTATAAAAATCCAAATTTGGTATCAGGGAGTTCCTCCCAAAGGCTATTTCTCTTTTTAAAATCAAGCAGGTTCTTAACAAGTCAGGGTAATGGAAAATAAAGATGGGGGCTGATTTAGATTAAAAGAAATTTAAGAGACTTAAGAGGCTAACACAATCAAACGCAATGTGTAATCCCTGACTGGATGGATACAAATTGAACAAACTAGATGTAAAACAGTTTGGTGGGAGCAATTGGGAAAGTCTTGAATATGAAAATGTTGCATATGGATAATATCAGGAAATTGTTAGATTTTATAAAGTACAATAATGATATTGTAGTTACATAGGAAAATGTCCCCATTTAAAAAGATGCATATAGGAGTAAACAGGGGTAATGCCAGTAAATTCCTTTAAAAACTTCAGCCAAAAAAAAAGTAAATAAAAAAAGAATAGTTTAAAATTAGATGGTGGATGAATTCCATATACTATCTTCTTTACCTTTCTATATGTTTGATTTTGTTTATAAAGAGAATGGGTAGAAAACGTATGTATGTGAGCGAGCTGTGGATCCTCCAAGTGTCCATGCTAAAGCGCTAGGATGCTATGAATAAAGGATACTGACTTTGAGAACCATGTATTAAGAATCAGGAAACTTCTTGTATTAAATTTAAGAATATTTTCCTTAAGAAATGGAGAATAGCCCGGAATGGTGGCACATGCCTGTTATCCCAGCAACTCAGGATGCTGAGACAGAAGGATTCCAAGTTTGATATCAGTTTCAGCAACTTTGTTTGAGGCCTTAAGCAACTTAGTGGGACCCTGTCTCAAAATAAAAAATAATAGGGCTGGGAATGGGCCTCGGTTATTAAGCACCCCTGGGTTAAATAACCAATACCAAAAAAAGGGGGGGGGGAAGAATTCATTTAATAATATGTATATAATTCATAAGGCTAGGTATTCCTATTGCATTCTTCCAAAATACATTATCCTTTTAAACTTTTTTTTTCTATTATAGGAAACAAGATTTTCAAGAACAAGAACCCTAGATACATGAAGTTAATGGAAGTTAATGGAAACCTTTCTTTGGCTTTTCCAGTTGTGACCTGTTTTCTACCAATTATGTAGCACACACCCATCCAACATCTTCTGCAGGCAACACAGGACTCCTCTTGAGCAGATACCATCAGACTCACATACAATCTTATTATTAAGGTTTTATTTAATTTCAGAGTGCAAATATTTTTCAGATGAGCATTAGCTTTTATAAACTAAGCTATATTTTTGCCCTTAACCACCCCTTATCTGAGTATGACTTATATCCACATATATTGAAGCCAATCTGCCTGTCATGACATTTCCTTTCAAGCACTTGTTTTTTAGACCAGTAATCTTGCTACTAAAGTTAATGTTTATTCTCTTTCCTTCTCACATTTTTAATTAAAAGGTCTCCCAGCTATATTTGATTAACATTAAATTCCAAATTCAAACTGTTAAGTTTGATTTGTTTTTAATGGCTCCCCTTAAGTATGAGACACATCTTGCTTTTGTTGAACTTCTTTCATTATTCCAGGTGATGGGGTATTTTTGTTTTTGTAATTAATCCAAGGTTTACAATAGTATAAGTCTAAATCACAGTGACTACGAAAGTTACATAAATGCTAATACATTGGCAAACGCCACCTCAGGATGAATCACTTGTCAATTTTTTTCAACAGTCTAGGTCTTTCATGAGCAATGACTGTTTTGCTTACTATGTTTTTTACCCCCAGTTAAAATATTAAAATAGAAAAGCTAAGTTCATTTGCAGACTGAAATCATTAAGCAGTTTAATAGAAGTATTTTGAAATAGTCTATTATAATTCTTAAAATTTAAAGATGGTGAAGAAAGGTCAACACTAAATGGTGATAATACTTTACAGTATTGTGCAAAGTTCTGAGAACTGGAAGAGATTATTTAAATTTTTCTTTTTATTCTTTTTAGTTGTAAGTCACTTGCTTATTTTAAGGAAGAGAGAACTGGGTACATAGCAAAGAAATATCAAAACTAGTTTAACTGAATGAAACAAACTTTATTATTTTCCCTTATATTGGTAGGTAAAGCAAACTTTGTAAGTGGGCCATGGAAATAGAGGTCTCTTTTAAAAAGTGTCTAGACAGCCAGTGTCAATTTTGAAACTAAAAGTTAGATCTGAAGTCTATATTACCTTTAATCCACATTTTATATTTTTCTTCATAATTAAACTTTGAAAATATTACAACTGGATATTTCTTTAAACAGACAGACTGCATGTTCTATAGTTATAATGAAAAAGTAGTTAAAAACTCATGGAGAGTTTTTCCAGCAAACTTGTAGCTTGTGTCTCGGCTAAATACTCAAGGAGTAATATAGCATGTTGTTTAGTGTCTCCTTCCTAAAGAGAACTTTTGTATTGTAATTTATTTTTTATTATGTCTTAAATACCATGTAAATAAACCTTTAGTAATAAAGAATTATAAATGAAATGATTTGCTTACATTCCAAATTTGAAATTTTACATAGCAGATAACAAAACAGAGGTATATATTTTATCTTCACTGAAAAGTTTTCTTAGTACAGACAACCTGGGAGTCAATAATGGATAGAATTAGTTTTTACTGGGTAAGTAAAAGTATATGGATTTCCATAGAATTGTTACACTGCTTTGGATAACTGGGAATTGAGCGTAACAACACTACTTAGTTTGGGGACTCCTGAAGGAAAGGTATCAACTATTCTATTTGGTACTCCTGCAATACTCGCCAATAGAGAAAACTACTAGCTTTCAGGTCTAGTAAAGAGATAGTGGTTGAAAACTGGCAAGTTATTAAATCTTTCCAAAAGGTGAAGCATATTTTTGGCTCTCTCCTGCTTTCATTAATCATGTGCAATTCCAGACTAGGATAGCATGATTAAAGCAAGGTTCTGTACCATCTTTTTCAGAAGGATGTGATGCCATCTCATTTCAAGTACTTTAATAGCAAAGCTTTCTTTTCCAAATAAAAGATACAAAATCCTAGTTCCTCTTCACCCCTAATATATGATGTAATTATGTGACCTTCATTAAGACTGTAAACAGTAATTTAATAAACATCCAATTCTGGATGCTATAATAGCTACACTGAAAAAGACAAAAATCAGAGACTATGGCAAGTATTGGCCACAAGGGCCTAATACATATTTATCTACTGACTGACCCTGCATATGCTCCCAGGTCTCTTTGTACTCTAAGTTTATGAGAATCTATTCCGAAAGAGTTCCACTAAAATCTCTAGACGTATAGACAACATCTGGAACACAGATGCTCAAGATTATTTAGTCCTGCAGAATTCTATAAAAATAAAACCGAAAATTTTCCTAAGTCTGTAACCGATTTCATTTTCAAGCAAAAGAGCAACGAGCTCTCAAAGAATCGCTGGTCAGTGAAACCAGGTGCGATTCTGGAAGGTAGCCACAGCCTATGGCATCTCCGGATGGCCATTTTAAGTTTTCTCGCTGACGTCACTTCCTGGGTTACCTGAGTCGTTACCGGGAGCCGCAAACAAGGTGTACAAGTATCTGAAGAGCTGTCGGGATGCAGCAGAGCGGAGCGGCTGGAGGCCGTGGCTGCGCGCTCTTTTTAGTGCTGGGCATCCTATTTTTCCAGGGTGAGTTCGCCGGCTGGCTGTGTCCCACTTCCGGCTGCGGGGGGGTAGGGAAGATGGTCGCTTTTCCGGTTCCGGGTGGGGGGGTCTCGTCAAAGCCCCCGCTCGGTTTCTGGGAAGGAAGGAAGGTGGGGTGCTGCGGAGGATGTTCACGCCACCCACAGAGAAGAGTTGCTATCTTGTCAGTCCTTTCCTGAGCTCGACCACCTTGGCGCTGTATTTTGGTGATGACATGACTAGGTGGAACCACAAAGTTCAGGCTTTGGGGGCAACGCGTGGTTATCTTATATGAGATAATCTGTGGTAGTCTGCTGTTACCCTGATGACAGAAAGGAATTTCTAGTGGCCAGTAGTGGGTCCCTTTAGTTTTGGGAAACAAAATCGTTACTTGATAATTTTATTTTTTGTAAATGAATATCCTGGGCTATGAAATAAAACGTTTGTCACAGGTCGTGATGTGTGTTTTTATACAGAAGTATATTGTTGAAGAAGCAGCAACTACCTTAGCATTTAAAAAAAAAACATTTTTAAAAATATAAGGGTATGGCGGTTCTTAATCGGCTGAGTGATATCAGAAATACATACGGACACAATAACACTTGTAAAAATTGAGTTTGTTTTGATTTCATGTAATTTTCAAATTGCATATATTTCAGTTCAACCTAAATAATTTCATTTTAGGGTGTAATTATTTCCTGATTTTTTTTGTTTGTGTCTGTGTCTTTTGGGGAAATCAAATATAATTACAGCAGCATTAGAGAGAATTTTTGACTTCATAAAACTTCCCTGTAAGTAATGGAGATTTCTGAAATGAACCTTTAATATTATATAAATATAAATCAGGTGCCCTAATTCTCAGCAGGTAAGACTGGGAAGTTTTTATTTATCTGGTGACTAATATTCTTGCTGCCAGCACACTCCCGGATTTCTCCCAGCTGCCTGTGTCATCATAAGTGTCCAGTTTTTCATCTAAATTCCTTTTGCAATACAATATTTAGTTTGACCTGTCACTTCAAATATACCCAGATCTCTTTCTCTTACACACACACACACACACACACAGACACACATACGCACACACGGCATGTCAAATATTCTATCAAGGAAAAAAAATTTCTAGAAATAATAGGTGTTTTCTTGAATTTAATGCCATTTCACATTGAAGAGTTGCTTCAAATTCAATGGACCTAATAATTCAAACAGTAAAGTTGATTTTATCATCTTCTTGTACTTGTTGAGGAGATTTATATCTTTTTAAATAACAGGTGTATTGAGATATGGTCACGTTCTATGCAATTTATCCATTTAAAATGTACAATTCAGTGGCTTCTAGGAGTCATACAGTTGCATAATCATCACCACAACTAATTTTAGAATATTTTTGTCACCCCAAAGAGAAATCCTACTCCCATTCCCAACTTCCCCCAACCCCTGATAACCACCAGTCCACTTTCTAACTTTGTGGATTTGCCTGATCTGGGTATTTTATATAAATGGGATCATACAATGTATTTTCTTTTGTGACTGGATTCTTTCACTTAGTGTGTTTTTGATGTTTCATCTTTTGTCTTTCTTTTTTGGTCTGACTTTTGAATCTGTTAGGTGATGGACTTTGTTTTCATACTAATATTTATTTGCCTTTCCTCTTCACAGATAGGACACATTTAATTATTAGTTTGTTCAAATTCTTCTTAAGTTATAAGTCTAATCCTATTGTAGCAGTTGTTGAAGTGTATAGAAATAATTGAGTAGGTAATATAGTCTTCTCTTTTCCATGTAAATGTGCCATTATATGAACGAAAGATTGTCAGATGCATATTTTGGAAAATCACATTTATAAAATTAGGAACTTTATTCTGTCATATTTCTCTAATTTCTTCCATTTATAAAATTATTTATGTTAAATAGGATTTTCCTGTTTTCTTCCCCAATTAAATTTTTTGTGGATATTTCTTTAGTTTACTGTTTTACCTGTTCAGAATGCTCTTTGACTCAGGTAGAAAAATAAATATCTGTAAAGACATTAGTCTAAGGTAGAAATTTCTGAATGAATGTAATATTGGATTAGAAGGGAAGAGACTTAGAAGGGGATTTGGTAGGGACTGTCACAGAGATGTGAAATTTGCATGTTTGTGTGTGATGTATGTGTATACACACCCATGCAGCACAATCAGTGTGGGGTGTTGGTTGGGGAGAGAATAAAGGAATTCTGATTTATAACTCTAATCCAAGTCTCTTCTTTGCTCTTTGGAAAACTTTCCATAAAGGGATAGAGAATAAATATTTTGGGCTTTTCAGGCATATAGTCTCTGTTGTAACTACTTTTTTTCTGCAAAAAGTGCAAAACACCATGATAGGCAATATACGTAAGCAAATGAATATGGCTATTTTAAAAAAATATTTATTTTTTACTTTTAGGTGGACACAATATCTTTATTTTATTTTTATGTGGTGCTGAGGTTTGAACCCAGTGCCTCGCTCATGCCAAGTGAGCATGCTATCACTTGAGCCACATCCCCAGCCCAATATGGCTGTTTTTTAATAAAACCTTGTTTACATAAATATGTTGAATTTTTTATCTGTTTATCAGGATAATTCTAGAGATTATAATTGGTTTGCCTCCATCTGGGTCACCCACAGAGCAAAGGGTAAGATCAGTTGCTAGTTTTTCTTAGTTTGCTCCTCTCATGAGATCCATTTGTTTGCATGTGGCCCATGGGCCATAGTTTACTGACCTTTAACCTAAACCAACTGCTACTTTGATAGTATCCCTTGGGTATCTCACATACACCCAAATTCATCCAGAATCAAATTCATGTTCCCCTTCCAAGTCTCGTACTCTCTAGTCTTCTCTCTCTAGTGAATGGCATCACCAAGTCAGGTGGTGTCATTCTTGACACCACCCTTTCTCTACATTAATTTTTTATGTTGCAATTGTGTAATTTTTCTCCTTCAGGTTATACCAGCCCAGTCTAGAAGTGGTCATCAAGAGCTAGGCTTTTCCTGAATGGGTGCAATAGAAAGACAGAAGAATAGGGGAGTTAAGAGTGTTGAAAATACTGTAAAGAAGGTAATAGGGGTGGGTGGGTTATTAATGAGTATATTTTGTTCCTGTACTAGAATTTATGGTGAGATATGGTCACATTCTTTGCAATTTATCCATTTAAAATGTACAATTCAGTGGCTTCTAGGAGTCATTCATCTCTTTCTCTCAGTCTCTCTTTTTCTGACCCCCCTCTCTCTGAAGTTTTACCCCAGAGGTGCTTGGATTTAATGGAGGAAATAAATAGCATTTAAAAGTTACTTGCAATTAATGGCATATGTAGTTGAGTAGCACTGTGTAAAAGTATTATGAGAATGTTGAAGAAATAGTGATGAACTTTATCAGAAAACTTAGGAAAGCATCACAAAGGGGCTAATATTTGAGCTGGGGTTTTAAAACGTGTGATTGTTGAGGGAACGGTGTGATGGAGAAAAACTCAGGCAGGATTGGTAGAGATGGGGTCAACCTTCCAGACAGAGACATATTCAAAGAAAGACACAGGTCATGAAAGGACACAGTGCCTTTGGGAAATGGAAGGACATTTTAGGCATGGTAAAGGGGATGGGATGGGTAGGTGGCAGAGTGGCAGAAGTTTGGGGCCAAATTGTTGTTTGGGTTTTATTCCATGATGCAACAGGGAATTACTGAAGGCTTTTTAATGTATATAATTTTAATAATAATATTTTAATAATAATATTTATTGAAATATTTTATTATTAAGCATTTTACGTGTTATCATTTTAATTGTATTGAAACTTCACAATAATCCAATGAAGCAGGTTTGGTTATTATTCCTATGTACCAAGTGAGAAAATTAAAGTTTGAACAGGTTGGGTAACTGATCATGGTCTCACAGACAGAAAGTGGCTGAGATAGAACTTAAGTTCAGGTCTGGCTAATTCTAATCCATGCTTTAAATTCTGTACTATACCTGTAATACTTGTGCTTTAGAATAAAAGAGTGGGATGAGGGGACAATACAGATTATCCATTTGTTTCCACCTTCCAGTTTTTAGACTTAGGTAAGGATTTTTCCACATTAATGTGTCATTGAAGTTGTTATTAGTGAGCTCAATCTGGTCTCCTCCTTTTAAGAGGAATGTGACCAAACTAGATTGTCTAGAGAGGAGTGACAAAAATGATTCAAAGCAGGCAGAGGTAGAGGCAGGGGAACTGATGACTCAGAGCTGTCTGTGGTAGGAAAGGTCGAGACAGTGTAGGAGAACTGAAGAGGTGAATGCTGATACTGATGGTACTAAGATGAATTGGACGATAACTCAGTAGCTCTTGGTAGGCTTCTAGTGTTGTACATGTTTTAACTCATTTAATCCTCATAGTGACCTTCCCATAAGGTCCTTGTAATAATGAGGAGATGGAGGACATACAGTAGCTTGCTGAGGCTGCAGAGCCAAGCAGTATCACTGGGATTTGAATTGGGATTTGGACTGGGACTTGAACCCTCTTCATTCTGTTTGTCTTGGGCTAACAGAAGAATCATGGCTTATTGAGGTGGATAAAGAAGCAGGAAAAACAAAGTGCTAGAGACTTAATTTTCTAAAATATGACTCTTTAGTGGAAAATAAGTTTCTACTTACTATTTTCTGAAAGCAGAAATTAATAAGAAAAAAATGCCAGCTCTTTTGGGGGAGATGTTGTGTCAAAGTTGAATATGAGCAAATATGAATAGGACTCTGCAGGGTTTAAAAATGCTCTCTTATTTTTGCATTGTAGAATGCATCCAGTTTTTCTGTTTTCCTCCCCATAATTAAATTTGAACAAATGGGTGATTCATTAACCAGCTTTAATAAAGAGGGGAAAACCAGATAGGTCACAGAATAGTTTTTAAAAATTCTTTGAAAATTTTCCTATTCTTATTTCCTATTCTCATTTTATTGGTGATTGAGACAGTGACAACTTCTTGCTATATTCATGCTGTACTTGGGGTAAGTCCTTAGACCCCACGAAAATTGTCATATTCCCAGAGCATGTGTGTGCTCTGGGGTTTGGGAAATGGAAAAGGGTGAATGGTGTTGCCTTTTTTGCCTACTGTGGACAGCCCTGCTCACTTGTGCTTAATTTAACCATAAACTTGCATTTTGGAAAAAATGCTTGTGTGACCAGGTTTTCAATTTTACCCAAGTATTCAATCTATGATTTAAGATTACAGAATGATAAAAATGCTACCCTAGATTAATGGGGATATCAGGTCCTTGTCCCTTGTGGGATTGCCTGAGAAGACATTGATTGCCCTGACTTTTTGAAGAGAGCCATGAAAATGATAAATAGCATGCCTATGTTGTTCATTGACATCTGTACATTCCACTAAAATTAATACACTTTAAATGTTTGGGCTTGCTTTGATTAGGTGTTCATATCGTCCTTTCCTTGGAGATTAATGCAGATGCTCATGTCCGAGGTTATGTTGGAGAAAAGATCAAGTTGAAATGTACCTTCAAGTCAACTTCGGAAGTCACTGACAAACTGACCATAGATTGGACATATCGCCCTCCCAGCAGCAGTCGCACAGAGTCTGTAAGTGTGTACTTTTCAGAAAGCTGCCTTGAGTCTTCTGGGTCAACGGTTTTGAAATCTTTTTATTGCAAATAACAGGCATTCATGAAGCCTTCTCCTCTTAGAATAGAAGATGAACTTCTCTATAAAGGAAAGGAGATGAGCTTCTGCCCTGTGTGACATTTTTTTGATCACAGAGGTCATTTTATTCTTCCACTTAAGAATCTTGCATATTAGTTGGGTGTGATGGCACATGCCTGTAATCCCAACAGGGCTTAGGAAGCTGAGGCAAGAGGACTGCAAGTTCAAAGCCAGCCTCACAATTTAGCGAGACCCTAAGCAGCTTAGTAAGACCCTGTCTCAAAATTAAAAATTAAAAAGGGCTGGGGATGTGCCCAGTGATTAAGTGCCCTAGGGTTCAATCCCCAATATCAAGAGAGAGAGAGAGAGAGAGAGAGAGAGAGAGAGAGAGAGAGAGAATATCTTGCATATAATTTGCAGGAATAAAGTGGCCAAAAAACTAGAGGAAATATGGTTTAATTTTTTTATAGCTTCATTTTCACATTGATCTACTAAGAAGTGTATCTCTAGGACCGTTGACTAGAACAGTTCTATGGGTCCCAGTCACAGACATCCTTTCTCTTAAAACTAGCTGCTCATTTCCTGTTAAATAAAATTGTTTCAGTGGGTGTATCTGTTTGTATGGTTGTACTTTGTAGATTTATCTTGGCTTCTTCTCCCAGCAGGTAAACATCTGCAGTGATTTATATAGCTGCCTTTGAAGGAAGTGGTGGCACCTTGTGTTGGTGATAGATGTTGTTGGTGACAGATGGTCTTCTATATTAAAAGCAATATACTTTAGTCACACATATAGAAACCATTTATGGTTCAAATCCCATTGCGGGTATCTAATTGAAGATAAGACACCCTTTCTCTTTATGATTCCACCAGTATCCTTAGCTCAGTATAAGTGCTATTCAACAATGTGAATCTCACAACCATATATGTAAGATTAGATTTTTGAAAGTATTCTTAACTTATTTATGCTGTTTTCCTTTGTTGGGAAAACTTTCCCATTCATTTTAATGTGTAAGCTTTGAATTCTGTTTTGGAGTCATTTTTCTTTTCTTTTTTTTTTTTTTGAGAATTTTAATATTTATTTTTTAGTTCTCGGCGGACACAACATCTTTGTTGGTATGTGGTGCTGAGGATCGAACCCGGGCCGCACGCATGCCAGGCGAGCGTGTTACCACTTGAGCCACATCCCCAGCCCCTTGGAGTCATTTTTCAATGCCACATAGCTTGGAGCTAGGCAGTTAATTCTAGCGAAGGAAGCTAGACTGAATTCATGGTTCCTTTTTTTTAAAACAGTTTACTTTATTCTGAGTATTCAGGAAACCATGGCTGCCCTTGTTTGGCTCAACCTCCTTGGCCAAAATTAGGACAGTGCAAGCAATGAGCTTCTTGAGTCAGAAACCTTATAGACAAACAGTAGATCTCTGTGAGACTGGTAGAAAACCAGCAAACCCACCCAAGTTGGACTCAGTAGACCTTTAAAGTCACATAATGTAATGTTGCAGTTACACAGTTAGTGTAACTGCGTTGATCAATTAGTAAGGATTTGAGTATCACTAATTTAGTATGGTACTTATTGGTTAGATTAACCTTGAAGATACACTGCAGCCTTGTTTTGTCAATCAGGACTTTCAAACCCTTTTATCCTGATGCTGGTAATCAGTGGTAGGCTCTCTTTATCTCCCTTTGGAACACTCACCTCACATATTATTTCTTGATAACTGTATTTACCACTAGAATATAAGTTCCATGAGGGTAGGAACTGTGCCTGTGTGGCTCCCAGTGTACTGTTTTTCTTAACATACTGCCTAAAACTCACTCTGCATGTAGTATTTGTTGAAAAAATGAACCAACAAGTGATTCAGCATCTTCTCTGGGAAATTGCTGTTCAGTTGGGAAATTCAGTGGTTATAGATGTCTAGTTGCTTAAGTGGGAAGGTACCAAGAAAACAAAGAAATTGTTTGTATCTTGAATCTTGCATAAGAGAGAAAACTTACATTGTTTTGTAGTACCTGGCTGACCCACCTCCAGGTATAATCAGGGGCTTTTGGTGATGAAGTGTCTGATCACTAAGTCCAGTCCAGCACTGTTTTAATTCAATATACATTTATTGAGTCCTTTTTATGCATTTGACTTGGATTTATATTAACTTCCAGGGTAGATAATGTGAGAGAGACTGGATTATATTACACTATGCCAGTGATTTTGAGAATAAACAAAAATCTTCCTTTTGTTACTTACTAATTGGTACCATTGAGTAAGTCAGTTTTTTGTTTGTTTGTTTGTTTGTTTGTTTGTTTTTGGTCTTGCTCCCCTTTCCATCAATTTGGAATAGTTAGTTATGTGTTAGTTATAACACATATCATTTAATGTTATTGTAAGGCTAAAGTGAACAAATATGTGGAAGTCATTTGTAAACTATAAAGTGCTATACCAATATGAGACATTACTTTAGAGCAGGATTTCTCAACTTTGGCACTGCTGACATTTTGAGCCAGATGATTCTTTGTTGTGAGGGCCATCATCCCATACATTGTGGGAAGTTTAACAGTAATTCTGCCTTATATTCATTAGATGCCAGTAGGCTCATCTCCCCACTGTGACAACAAAAATGTCTCCAACTCAACATCGAGAAAACAAAGAACCTGATTAAAAAATGAGTAAAGGATCTGAATAGATATTTCTCAAAAGAAGAGCTATCAATGGTTATCAGGTAGATGAAAAATGTTCCATATCTCAATTATTATGGAGATTCAAATTAAAACCACAATGAGATATCACCTCACATCTGTTAAAATGATTGTTATAAGAAAGACAAGTTATAAAAAGTGTAGGAAGGATTAGAGAACAGGGAACCCTGTATACTGTTGGTGGGGATGTAAATTAGTATAGCCATTTTGGAAAATAATATGGAGGTTCTTAAAAAACTAAAAATAGGGGCTGAGGTTGTGGCTCAGTGGTAGAGGGCTTGCCTTGCATGTGTGAGGCACTGGGTTTGAGCCTCAGCACCACATAAAAATAAGTAAATAAAATAAAGGTATTCTATCCATCTAAAAAAAAAAACTAAACAAACAAACTAAAAATAGCTGGGTGTATAGCTCAGTGGTAGAGCACTGCCAGAAAAAAAAATCACATTGTATCCCATGAATATAATAATTATTATTTGTCAATTAAATATAAATAAATAAGTTTTGAAGGTGGAAAAAGTCTCCAACTGTTTCCAAATGTTTTATGAAGAGCAAAGTTGCCCTGGTTTAAAGCTATTACTTTAGGACGTTAAGAATTTAGAAGAGATTCAAGAGTTAGGATCCCAGGATTCTTTCATTATTCTTTTTTTGAATTGGCCTTTAGGATGATAGGATGAACCAGAGGATGAAGGTGAAAAAAAAGCATTTAAAAATTTTCCCAACTACAAGAACCCATTTATAGTTGTATTTTACTTTGGAACTACTTAGCTTAACATTTTCCAAATTAACATTTTTCTCTCATGGTGTTGCTTTCTTAGATTTTTCATTATCAGTCTTTCCAGTACCCAACCACAGCAGGCACATTTCGGGATCGGATTTCCTGGGTTGGAAATGTGTACAAAGGGGATGCATCTATAAGCATAAGCAATCCTACCCTTAAGGACAATGGGACATTCAGCTGTGCTGTGAAGAATCCCCCAGACGTGCACCATAATATCCCCCTGACAGAGCTAACGGTCACAGAAAGGGGTAAGCTTATTGCCATCAGCCTTCTGCAGTGCTTTTGGGATTGTTCTGGAATGCTCATTGAAAAGCAATGAGTTGAGTCATTGGATCCAGTTGAGTCATTGGATCATTGTGACAAAGTGATTTATCTTGCTGTCCTGTTAAGATGAATTTTTCATCTTTATTCTGAAAACTGAATTTTCTCTTCAAATTTTGTCATAGTTTCTCCATTATCCCCTTTTCATTTTGGTCTCAGGTAAACAAAGGTCTTGTGGAATAGATGACAAACCCTTTAGTAAATGGAAGATTAGCATCTCTGTGAAACAGAAGTCACTCGGGTTTTCCTAATACGTTCACATTCCCAGCTATGAGACAGTGTTCTTGCCTATGTCTTGAAAGGGTATTTCCTCTGTTGATGGATGTGGTATATTTCTTTTATGTTACTAAGGGCAGCAGTTTCCTTTTAGTGTAAAACAGGTTGAGAGGAAGTTGAGGACTGACCTTTTTTTTCTACATTTTTCCTTGGTGACTATTAAGTGGTTATTCTAGTTCTTAATTGAATTTAAACCAAAGATTTAGAGATACATTATGATTCATCATAGTTACCTTATCTTTCTTGGGTCTTCCCTCCCCTGCCTTCCTTCTTCCCTCTCTCCCTTCTTCCCTTTCTCTTCTTTCTCAAATTCCTTCTTCTTCTTTATTGTCTTTTGTCTTTATCTTCTTCAACAATAACTGACAGGTTTCAAAGACATGAGCACATTCATAATGCTGGAATGATTAGAAACTGATTAAGTTTTTCTGGAAAGCATTTTGAGAATAGGAATTAGATTCTTAGAAGTATATGTCCTTTGATCCTGTAATTTCATTTCAAAATTTAATTTTAAGGAAATAGAGGTGAACATGAGGATTTATGTACAAGGATGTTCGTCCTAATGTGACTTTCGAACTCAAAAGAGTTTGAAATAAACTTGAATGCCTAGCATTAGAGGATTGATTTAATAAATTTTTTCAATATGGCAGGATACTGTGCCCATTAAACATCACATCTAGAAGGGATTTTTAATGACATGAAAACATGTTTATTATATTTAGCAAAAAATGTTAAAATAATATGTAGCATGATTTCTAGATCTAGGAATATGCACCTTACTTTCAAATGTACCCCCATAAACAATACCCCTTGAAAGAAGATTGAATCGGTAAATACCAATGTGTTATTCCTAGGTAGCGGAATTATGGGAGAATTTTTATTCTTTGTTGCATTTTTGTGCATTTTCTACATTTTCCACAATGAATTCATTTCCTTTGTAATCAGAAAAAGTACAAGTGCAAAAGCAGAAATTCTCTCATGTCAGAGGAAGCACTTTTACACCTTTTCTTTTTTCCCTCTAGGTTTTGGCACCATGCTATCCTCTGTGGCCCTTCTTTCCATTCTCGTCTTCATTCCCTCAGTGGTGGTGGTGGTTCTGCTGCTGCTGAGAATGGGGAGGAAGGCTTCGGGGCTGAAGAAGAGGAGCAAGTCTGGCTATAAGAAGTCATCTATTGAAGTTTCAGATGAGTAAGTCCAGCTGCAGCCCTAGTAAACCTATTTTTCTTCAGGGCCCTGCACCCCTGTATCCAGAATTCTATCATGTTGAGTTTAGTTCAGCTGGTGGAGTTTCGTTTTGGACAGGATGGTTCTGTTTGAAAGTGACACTTGTGGATATTGATTTGGAGGGAGATGGAGGGACTGATAGTATTCTCCTCACCTTCTCCTTTGGAAATCAGATTGTGCAATACTTTGGTTCTAAACATTTTTTCCCCATTGGGTAATGGGGATTGAGCTCAGGGGCCCTCAATGACACTGAGCCACACCCCTAGCCTATTTTGTATTTTATTTAGAGACAAGGTCTCACTGAGTTGTTTAGCATTTTGCTTTTGCTGAGGCTGGCTCTGAACTCATGATTCTCCTGTCTCATCCTCTCGAGCTATGGGGATCATAGGTGTACACCACCATGCCCAGCACTGACATTTTTTAAAAGTAGGTATCTCATTTTTTTCAAAGTTTAGGGGAAACTCCAAGTCAGTTTTTTCCTCTTCTCTGTTTCTCTTTTTGGCACTAAGCTGATTTCTCCTGACAGAAAGAAAATACATGTGCAATGAGGGAGGCTTTAAGAATAGCCATGGAGGGTAAGGACAATTTAAATAAGCAAGATCTATTCTTGGTCAGTAGATGCCCCAAAGGGCTACTTGGATTGTGGTTATCAAAAGCATTTATTAAACATCATTCTGCCAGTGAGCAGCCATGATCCAGTATTTTCCCTCAAAAGATGTCTCCTAAAAAAAGTAATAAAAATTAACGTAAAACCCTGTGAGTTCTTTATTATATGTATTGGGAGTCTTTAACATGGGGAGGAAAGTCTGACCCTTAAAGGGTCCAAAATTTTTATTCTCTGTGTGTGTGTGGAGAGAGAATGCCCTTAGTAAGTAATCTGTGGTTCCCCCAAAATAAAGAACTATTGACCAAAATCCCAATGTCTATTTCAAAATATGGTATACCAAACCTTTCATCAACTGATCCTAAGTCACACACTGCTTTCTATAATTTCTTCTCATTCACCCCACCTCAACAATAGTGAGCTTATTTTTCCCACTAGACATACTACATTTAGGTAGAGACATATTGTTTTTATTTTTCCTTGCCTCCTTCCTGCTTTTTTTTTTTTAATGGTGCTGGGGATTGAACCCAGGGGCTTGTGCATGCAAGACAAGCATTCTACCAAGTGAGATATGTCCCCACAGCCCTTTCCTTCTCTTCTTTGCTAGGAAACTCTTTCTTATCTTCTAAGACCAGCTGAAATATCCCTTTCTCTTGACTCTTCCTGAGTTCTGAAGGGTGAATCAGTCACTCTCTGCCCATTGCTGCCACAGCAGTTTCACCTTAATTCTATTAAGACATTTATCATATTGTATGATATAATACTTGTTAAGTTATAGAAGACCCCTCACCCCTGCCATGAGATCATTGGCTCTCCGAGGGACCAGGTTTTATTTATCTTTTTATCCCTAGTGCAGCACAATGCCCCAGACATTGTTGGTGCTTAGTACTTTTTTGAATGAATGAATGGTTATGACTAGCTACTATTTATCGAGCACTTACTATGTGCTGGGCATGTAGTGGTAATATCTACATTTCATAGATGAGGAAAGAAGCTCCTGGAGTTGAAGTGATTTGTCCAGTTATCTTGCTAGTAAGTGGAAGAGCTGGGGTCTAAACTCAGACCTGTCTGACTTTAAGACCTGAGCTTTTAACTGGCCCACTATACTGGATAGTGACAATAGGGATTTGGTTTGTACCCTTTTCACAGCACTGACCAGGAGGAGAAAGACGAGTGCATGGCAAGGCTTTGTGTCCGTTGTGCCGAGTGTCTGGTAAGTCCTTGCCATTTCTTCTGTTGACTGTGGTGTCTCACTTTCCTCCCTGCTTAAGGGGACTCTTTGTCCTCAAAGGCAGCAGAGAATATACATGTAGGTCCAAAGAAGGTATGAACCAGTATTTCCCCAAAGCATTTTGGCCTCTGGGGATTTCTACCAATTCTAAGAATGATTTTTTCTCCTGCCTCATGGGCATAGAGTGGTATTCTTAGGTCAGGAATGGGACTAGAAGAGGAATGTCTCATGCCATTTAATTCATACTAAGACACTTCAACTCACTGGATCCAGAACCTTGAATTTAACTTTTAGGCTGAGCTTTGGTATTTTCCAGGGAGTTAGAGTTTTAGGTAACTTAATGTCTTTTATCAATAAGAAACACTATTTTGGAAGGCCCAATTTTTCATTTAAATTTCAAAAAACTATCATCCTTCCCCCTTTGGGCAATTGCTGTGACTAATAGGCTTGTGTAGCTATCCTAGGATCGAAGGAGGAGGGAAGGCTCTCTGATGTGGTACAGTTGGAAATAGGTCAAAAGCAACTTGTGATCTAGTGTGAAACACACCTGTTATTTCAAGGTCCAAACTTGAGCTGTCTTTGTACTTACTGCCAAGCTCGGCACTTGGTCACACGAGTGTAGCCCAATTATTTGTTGCAGTAATCTTTGTTTCTGCTTCTCTCCAGCCCTTGAGTAACATATTAAGATGAGAGAAAGATTATTAGTGCTAGGGAAGAGGGAGTACCTGATGCCAACTCTTCAGGCTTTGAATATTTTTATAACACAAAATAAGTTAGTATTCTTATGGTTATTATTTGTTGAGTGTCTGACACATGTCACATGCCTTCTTGTGGGGAAGGACGTGTCACTTCCTAACCATCATTCTAGGTGGCTATGAAACAGTAGAATGGTGGTTAGGAAGCAGCAGTGAAGAAAAACTGACAAAAACTTCTGCCCTCAAAGAAAGAACTTAACATTCTTTTCCTGATAAACTTTCTCATCCTCCAAGATCCAGTTGAAATGTCACCTTTGCTTAAACTGGGGTACAAACACTGACTTAATCTTAAAAATAAGTAAAATATATACTATACCAGGTAGTTTTAATGCTATGAAGAAAAATAGAACAGGAAAGGGAGATGGGATGGCTGGATAGGGGTGTATGAGGATGGTTGGGGACATCCTCAGTAAGATGATATTTATGCAAACTCCTAAAAGAAGTAGATAGCAAGCCATATGGCCACTGTGGAGGAGCATTTCTAGATTGGGGAGATGAAGAAAAATTAGCCAAGGAGGCTGAGAAGTCATAATCAATAAGGTTGAAGGAAAATGGGTGAGTTTGGTATCCTGGGAGATAGGGAAGAAAGTGTTTCAAGGAGGGCAAATAAAATGAGAATTGAGAAGTGATTGTTGATGGTTGATAACGTGCAGGCCACTGGTGACCTTTGTAAAAGTGGCTCCAGTGGAACGGTGGAGTCGAAGCCTGACTGGGGGAGGTCAAGAAAGATTCCAAAGAGACAATGGAGAATATGGGTGTGTACAGCTTGCCTTGCTGTGGACCGATTCAGAGAAATAGACAATACGTGGAAGGAGGAATGTGTCAAGAATTACTTTTTTTTATTATGGGAAAAATTGAGCAAATTTATCAGCTGATGGGAATGATCCAGTCAAGAAGGAAAAATTGATGCTGCAGAAGAAAGAAGGAGGGTTGTTGGGGGTGATGCCAGGATTTAGTGCACATGTGGAGATGTTGGCTTGAGGCAAAGGCAGTAGGAGTGTGAAAGAAGAGTAGGGAAGGCCAAAAAGATGGAGCCATATGCTTGTCAGTGGTAAATACAACGATGGGAGACTGCTTCTCTGTTCCCAGTGATAGGAGAAAGCAGTACAATAGCTGAGAATGATGGGAGGAGGTGTTAGAAGATAAGGGAAAGAGGTTAAGTTATGAAATAGTCATTTGGGAGAATAGGAGAATTAATGACCTGTGAAATGCCAGGTAATGCTCATGGCCCAACTTAAGTTAGAAGTAATGTATGTGAGTTTCTGTAATAAGAATAAGAATCATGGTAATAGGAGCTAAGCTTGAATGAGTGTTAAAGGTGGCAGGCACAGCTAAGTAATTTATATCTATTGTCGAATTCACTTCTCATAATGGTACTGTGAGGTGTATTTTTATTATCCCCATTTCATAGATGAGGAAACTGAGTCTTAGAGAAGTTGAGGAACTCTATCTAGCCAGATGCAGTAGACACACCTGTAGTCCCAGCAGCTTAGGAAGCTGAGGCAGGAGGATTGCAAGTTCAAAGCAGCCTCAGCAACTTAGCGAGGCCCTAAGCAACTCAGAAAGATCCTGACTCTAAATAAAATATAAAAAAGGGGCTGGGGATGTGGCTCAGTGGTTAAGTGACTCTGAGTTCAGTTCCTGGTACCAAAAAACAAAACAAAACAAAAATCCTCAACAACAACAACAAACCACAAAGAACTTTATCCAAAGTCACACAGACAGCAAAGTGTGGAACTCAGAGTTAGAGCGACTCCTACTCTAAACTCCTAACCCTGTTCTTGTGCATTCTGCTGAAGGCAGTCACCTTTTCTTGTGTGTTATGGTTTTCAAAAAATATTCACCAAGGAAAAGGGAGCCATTTGGGCTTTGAGGCAGAAAATATCCCAGTGGACACATTTCATTGAGGTCTTGTGAAGTTTCATGGGAATTTAGGTGGGTCGAGTCAGTGGGATTTCAATCTTATTGTCCTAAGTCAGCTTTCACTGGAGGATCCAAAGGTGTGATCTTTGCCTAGATTCTAACTGTGGCGTTGCACTTCACGTGTACACCTCCCCCCATGCTGCTCTTTCCTCTGTAGGATTCAGACTATGAAGAGACATACTGATGAAAGTCGGCAGAATGTAAGAAGAGTCACCTAACAACAGAAAACACCCATTCCGCTGCAGCTGTAGCCTTTCCAGAGCAGGGGAGCTGGCCAGGACAGCAGTGACGGAGGATTCTGGAAGTCTTCAGTAAAGACTATGAACCATTTATTTATTGAAGAAATCTTCTTTTTGTATTTATAAACTGTTCAGAACTTTCAGAAGAGACTCATGACTTCCCCTTTTAAAAAGTTACACTCTAATTGAATGAAGAAATTCTTTCCTTGAAGAGAAAGATAACTTTTTGGTTTACCTTTGCTCTTGAATGTATTGTTTTCTTCCAATTGTTTGAAGGAGAATCCTAAATGTGTGCCACACTGCTGATGCCAAAGTGCTACTTTTTACTGAAGCAAAGCTTGCAGCTCTTGATGATGGGCTACCAGACAAAAGGCTTGTTTGGGATAGATGTCTGTTGTTTTTTAGCCATGAACTTTTCCAGCTGTGAGTCTACAACATACACTACTTGGTTCAATGTTATAATCATTGGTTATATCTGGGTGATTTGGAATGTAGCCCTAATTTCTTTAAAGTTGGTAGGATCAGGAGTCATTGGTGTGCTTTGACTGGGTTTTTAAACTATTAAAGTATTATAATTTACACTTAAGGAAAGGACTAGTGAGGTAGAGGAATTATTTTTGTTTGTCTTGCTAGGTGCAATTTGGGCCAAGGAGCTTTGTCATTCTACTTTCCTATAGTTGACTAATTTGTGGTTTCCTTCTTAACTTTTCAGGTCAGAGGCAAGAAAAACTCCTCAAAAGGTTTTAAGTGGGGACTTATAGAATATATTGAACAGTTAGTTGAAATTAAATCTTTTCACTTGTTCTTCAAAACTTTTTTGGTCTAAAATACACCAATTATGAGTGAACTATGGTATTTGCAAGCTATTTTGCATAATTTTGGAGAGGAGGAAGTAAGGTTATGCACAACATCTATGTCTTCTTTCTCTTCTCTCTATACCTCAAAACACATTCCTCCATTCTACAGCAACCTACTTCACTTTTTGATTACCCCTTTTCCCGTCTTTGTTGTTTCAGCAGAGAATGGTCCCTTTCGATGGTTCTTCCTTAGGTGGCTCAGGAGGCTTTCCTATGGTAGCATTATATACTATATATGTTTTTTAAAAATCAGTTCTACATTTTCTGCCAAGATCTAATTTCTAAAATTTGTGCCATTAATTTCGTCCCAATGATTTGGCCTGGCCTCTTTTGTTAGTTTAGTGAACAGATTAGAAAATCTGATTATTTGATAGATATTTTTGAATTGTTTCTGGTCACATCAGTCTGTTGCAGAGGCCAAGACAGGACTGATGTTTACATTTCCAGTGATTAAATTTTATACTTTTTTTCACCATTTGTTAATTATGTGATTCTCTGTGGTCAATTTAACAAGACCATTCTGGTGCCTCAGAAGAGAGGAAAATTTGAGCAGCTGATCTTGAAGATTTAAAAATAGAGATGAAATACTAAGGGGGACTTTTTGTGGGTCTCATTTCTCTGAGAGAGAGAGAGAGAAGAGATCACGTTACAGGAACCCATTTGAAGCCACATCCCATTGAAGGAGGAACCAGAGTTTGGGTTAGGTTTTCTTGCAAAGATTAGACTGTCTTGGATGTTTGCTGCTTTAGGTAAATGGTGCTCTGTGAATACTCACACATGTTATTTTGTAGCCTTTATCATGACTTGACCCAGTCCCTCTATTTTAAATGACAGAACAATAGAATCCTTTATGGTAAGGGAATAAGTTGGTAATTTATTCTGCTTCATGGGTTTGTGGTCACATCCCAGTCCAGGCTGCCCTGTTTCCTTCCTGTGTATTGACACTTGAGTTGCTGCTTTTTACCTCCAAAGGAGCAGAAAAGTGTATAGATTCGTGCCTTCTTAGAGGATGGAAGAAAGATAAAGTGTTTTCTTTTTGTTTGTTTAATGTACTGTTTTAGTAACTTCTAAGGTCTTAGTCTATTTATTTCCTTTTGCTGCTCTGTGGGCACTTGTCACACCATGTGGTGACTAGCTTTATCTAGAGAGGGAATTTCATTAAAAAGACATTAAAAACCTTCAGATTTTTTCTTTGCTTTCTCAAGCTTTCTTGTGGTTATGTTATCTTACCAATTTTATGCATTAGGTTTTTTAAATCTGTTACACAATGTAAATTTATAAAGTGCTTTCTGTTTCCCCTGTTAGCTGTTACTGCAGGTCACTTGGGAAACATCTTAATTCTCTTGAATTGGGTGCTATTGCTTCAAGAGAGAAGCTTGCACGTGCTTGTTTTTAAAACAACAACAACAACAACAACAACAACAAAATTCTGGGGACCACATCCTGAACTTGAATGTTGCATAATGAACTACTCAGCTGTAGTCATAAAGGAGAACTGTAAGAATATCCATTGGAATGGAGCAAGACTATTACTTAATTACACAACTCAAAACTTTTAGAAGAGGCAGCTGCATTCCTTTGTCTGCAGTGTTGGACTGTTAACTGCTATACCTCGTTGCCTTTTTTGTTCATTTGTTTTGTAGGAGGGCATGCACTGTTAGGCCATGTGCACAAGATTGTAACTCTTGGTATCTTTATTCTATCACACTTAATAAAGTTCTTTGTACCTTCTGGCTACCTCTTGGTGTATGTCTTACTTATGAGAGTTGTTATGTGAGGAAAAGGGGGGTTTTGTGGTTTTCAGCATTGAGTAAAAGATTTGTCTGAGCTGAAACCCAGCAAGAACCTACAGCTCACATAGCAAGGCTGATAATAAATTTTCTGAAAATCTGTGAGCCGGCTCCTACGCTGATGGTGACTTGAAATTGCCTAATGGTGGAAATATTCATACTACAGAGATGCCTTACCAGCATATCACTTTTCAAGGACCATGCAGCATGGTCCTTGAGGAAAGCAAACATTCACAAGCCTTTCATGTGATATGGACAAGTTCCATAAGGCAAGTATACTCAGGCCAATTGGTCAAGTCAATTGAGTTCAGGTTGAAGGCTACATTGAGAATGCTTATTTTAAAGTAGTGAGTTAGACTGAGAGAGCCCTCACACTGAAGAAAACTTGACTTCTTATCTGGGATGTCCAAGTCACCCAAGTGGTTCTCTGGAAGAATAACTGACAGTCTGTATGCTGGAAATGCTGATAACTCACCGTCACAGGAAAACTACATGGCTAGATGGTGAGTTGGAGGACTGAGCAGGAATGGGATAATTGACTGGCTATGTGGCACCTCTGTATTGAGAGAAAAAATGAGAGGTTGCTATATCTTAAAACAGATTTTTTTTTTGTACCAGGAATTGAACCCAGGAGTTCTTAACTAGCCACATTCCTGGCCCTTTTTATATTTTATTTTGAGACAGGGTCTAACTTGCTTAGGAACTTGGTAAGTTGCTGAGGCTAGCTTTGAACTCATGATCCTCCTGCCTCAGCCTCCCAGGCTACTGTAATGTCAGGTGTGCCTGGCTCAGTCAGATGTTTTGTGTCAATCTTTATTGTATTTTGTTTTCATGAAACTGATTTCTTTCTCAGCAAGTTTATCTGATGCCACTCAAGATCCTACCCTCAGAAAGTTTGTAATGTGGAAGGGGAGATGACACCTGCAGAGATCTGGGATGTGAGGCCCACCTCAGTAAGTTGAATTAAGAATGTTTTTTTAGAATGAAAATACAAATTAAAAGTGGATAATGGGCCAGATGACTGAAACAAGAACCTTGATTTGGAGGTTCCTGTTTGTCTCTGCAGCCACCCCGGGACATGTATGCATGCATGCACATTTGCTGTGATGTGCTTAGAGCTTGACGTAGTGTGTTGGCAGAAGTCTCTTCAGTCTGGTGTGGGACCTGCAGCAGTGGAGGATTTAAGTGCATTGCTGGTCCTGGGTATCTTCATCTTGGGTAAGATACTGCTTTGTATTTTGTGAGCTGTTATTGGAACTTTTCTCAGAAGGCTTGTTCTCACTCAGAGGAAAGCTAGCAATCTCAGGATCATTGTGGAGCCAATTGCAGAACTCTTGTTCTTAGCAGGGGGACTGCCATAAGGTAGTCCATTGAGTGCAGTTTTAGTTTCTGTAATTTATGTTAAGATCCTCAGAGAGAAGAAGGGTAGAGTTTGTGGGTAATAAGAGAGTAAGCAAAGAGGGAAATGACAAGGCTTCCACTGTTAAATTGCTTTAGAGCAGGGCTGTGAGTGGCTGTCCTTGAGCTTTTGGCAGGACTCTTTCCTTGCTATTTTGTTTTTTTTCTCCCCATTCTAGACAAGCCAATACTTAACCTTTCAAAGGCAGGAATTCAAACCTCCCAAGAGGGCTAGGCTGTTGTCCTGACTTGTCACAACCTGGCATGGCCCTGACCTTGGAAAAGATTGATGCAGGCTGGTTGAGGTATAATGTGGTCTAAAGGGGGGAGCAGGAGTACATAATGACTTCCAAGGTCCCATTCGAGGACAAGGCTGGCTGATGTAGCCTAGACTGTGTTACGTGGTCTCAGAGGGGAAAACAAGGGCATATTTTAAGAGATTCATGTCTCAGAGTGGTTATGTGGACTTGTATACCTACAAATACTCAAGAGGCCTGTTGAGATACACAGGAGCATACAGGGAAGTTGAGGGGTCTTAGCATCAAGGCAGAGTGGGCTGTGAGCAAGGGGAGAATGTACAGTTGTCACTTGATCAGTGGTGGGTTGCTCACTTAGGTCAAACAATATTGCAATATTTGGGGGTCATTTTCACATCTTGTATGGTAATCTCATTGTCATAAGTCTCTTTTCCAAAGTTTTTTTTTTCTGTCATAATTATGCCACAGATAACAATTTTCCTACACTATATTTTCTCTTTCTTTAAGTCAATTTTTAAATTTGTTCTTTTTTTAATATACATGACAGTAGAATGTATTTAGATAGGCATACATGGAATCCAACTTCCATTCTTCTGGTTGTACATGATGTGGAATTACATTGGTCATGTATTTAATATATGATTTCCTACACTAGGAAATAGGAAAAGGATCCTGATATTTACACACACACACACACACACACACACACACACACACTCCCCGTCCAAGGAGTGATAGGAGATGTTATTTAGGAGTTATATTGTGAAAAAGTCATGAGTTCAGGTCCAAATTTTTGGTCAACATATGAATTTCCTATGCAGAATTATCTCAAGAATTATACTGCAGAAGATAAAGCAGTATCTGGAAAGAGAAGGAAGTAGGGTAGAGGTAAGAGTTTAATGGTATCTATTATCAAGCTGTTTCTGAATGCTTTTGTTGGAGTTTTAAAAACAGATTTATGAGTAGATAATCATTTTAAAAATATATGTATTATGTATATTTATTTCAGAATGTTGGTGTTCAGGTATATATGTATTCAGAATACATTTGTATGGGTATATATATGTGCATGTGTGTATGTGATATATATTCATGTGTCAAGTAACATTTCAGTCAATGACAATGCACAACAGTGGTCCCATAAGGTTAAACTGCCTAGTTGCACTGTAGCAATTTCAATTTGTATAAGTACATTCTATGATTCTCCTCACAATGGTGAAATAAATCACCTAGTGACACATTTCTCAGAACACATCTCCATTGTGAAATGATACATGTGTCTATGTGCGTATATAAATGAATAAATGTATATGAAAGAATGTCTGGACATTTTCTAGCTAGGAAATTGTACTTGACTGGAGAGTTCTTGGTTACTGTTCAAGGTGTCTTGAACCCGTACGATGAGTAGTTACTGAGTGCTTCTCTGCACCTTGCACCATGCTACTGCTGGAGGTTTAGTGGCACACAGGCACAGCTCTTGGCCTCATGGGGCTTGTAGTCTTGGTGAATGTTGTGGAGAGCAAGACTTTAACCACATAGGCACGCTAATGAATAATTAGAAGTTGTGACATGTGCCCTGAAAAGATATATTGTACTATTAAGACATGTGGCTGGGGAATCTGACTTAGGATGGACGATTGAGGAGATATTTCACTGAGAAAATGACATTTCACTTGACATTAGAAAGATTAAAAGAGTTAGTGGGATGAAGGTATGAGCAGTAGCGATTTATTCAGGGGGAGCAGACAAATACTGTCCCCCCACTTCTCGGTACTAGGGATTGAACCCAGGGGCGCTCTACCCCTGAGCTACATCCCCAGTCCTTTTTATTTTTCGCTTGGAGACAAGGTCTTGCTAAGTTGCTGAGGCTAGCCTTGAACATATGATCCTCCTGCCTCAGTCCTCTGAGTTGCTGGGATTACAGGTGTGTACCATCACACCAGCTGGAGTATGGTTTTGACATATTAAGTTCAGGGACACTTCCCTCTAACATACTGATTACTTTCACCAACATGGAAAAGCAGTATAGTGTGACAAGGGTACAGGCTCAGGTCCAGAGTGCCTGGGTTTGGATCCTGGCTCTGCCACCTGCTGTGTGTTCTTATGTAGGTCACCTCACCAATCTGTGCCTCAGTTTTCTTATCTCTTAGATCTCTCAGATTGTGAGGATTAAGTGGGTGAACATGTTTGTTGCTCAGATAGTACCTGATATATAGCCTTGTCTGATTTATTGCATATCAACTCCTGATTTCCATTGTGGCACTCATTAACTGGGAAAATAAAAGTATGATTCTTTAATGTTAAAGATTTTGCTCAGGAAGTTGAGTGATTTTCCCGAAGATCAAAGAGTTAGTCAATGGAAGGTCTGAGCCTAGAAGATAATCTTTTTAAACTCTAATTTAGTGCTCTTCTACTAAGATCTTTGTTTTTCTCTTCATTCACTCAGAACACCAATGATGTATTTGAGTATTTGGGGCTGAAAATCGGTATATTCTATTTATCAGATTGTTTGCACCTTTTAAATAATTTATTTGAAAGTGGTTTGGTGTGGTTCCGAGAGTTGCTAATGAGGTTGTAGGATGCCTTGCAGTTGATTTCCATGTAATGGTCACATTGACAGTGAAGACATCCTTCTATTATGTGCCAGACACTTTACGGCTGTAGTAGCTCAGGAATGGGGCCCAAATATAAGCAAGACATGGATGATCTTGTCTTTGAGAATACGTAGACCTGATGACAGACATGAAAATCAACCATTTCTCTTTCATATAAGTGGTGCACTGTTGGGCGGGTTGGGGGGCATTCTAGTGCTGAGTGCTATTTGCTGGGCAGAGGAGGGAGCACAACTGATTTTTTGGAAAAGGATACATTCAGAGGGTGACAAAGATTTCATGTCCCATTAGGGTGAACTGAAGTTAAGACTTGCTCTTTTTATGACCCTCATCCATGTAGGTGTGAGATGAGGTGGGTGGTGTGGAGCAGGAATAGGGCTGTGGCTATAGAGAGACTGTGTTTTCATGAGAGGTACTTCTATTTAGGGGAACTCAGTGTGACTTCCTTTATATCTGACTCAGTAATTATTATCAACATTGTTATAGAGGGTTCAAGATGCAAACTGAAAAGTTTCCAATTCATTCTGATTCATCATTTGCCATTCTTATAAAGGTGGAAGTTCAGAACCCAAATCTTCCCTGAAGCTACAAATCATTTTCCATCTGACTCCTGAGTTATAAAAAATAGGATCTTCTATGGTAATGCTTCCTATTTTTCAAAGCACTGTTATCTACATTGTCATATTTGGTCCTTGTGTTATAGACGAGGAAGCCAAGGCTCAGTAAGATCAAGTGGGACCTAAGGCAGGAAGAACCTCCTTGAGCAATTGGATCTAGATTCTCCAGGTGGAGGATTTTGTTGATTAGAATACAGGTAAGGAATCTCTTCAATTGGTTTTTACAAGTTAAAATGGCCACCATTATGTGCCAGATGGCCTATCTTGTTGTTAGTGCAACAAACAGACCTCTCCTCTTTACAGATTTGGAGGTGGAATTTCTACAGTGCCAGGTGGCTAGGTGTGCAGGGATTATGGCTGAGACTAGGCACAGTAGTAGATAGGAACCCCAAACTGGATGAATTGTAACTTGTTGGCATTAGGGTTCTTGTGTTAAGCTGAGAAAATGTGGGGGCATTATGTAGAGAACAGTGAGTCCTTTTGTAGGAACTGGTGAGTGCAGTGAAATCAATACCACAGAGATAATATAAACAGAGAAATACTTTTGCCCAGTGTGGTCCAGTTCTTATTCTACTCACACTGCTCTGCTTTTAAAATAACAACAAAAAACCTCACCATGGACCTTTCTTGTAGCTTCATGTCCTAAATTTGGTTAATTCCTTAAGTGAGTTTAAACTTTCCCCTTATTTATGTATCTCCTCTCCCACATGCACTGAATATTCTTCCTATGTTTCAAAATAGTAGTTCTGATTTAGTTGGAAGGAGGTGAAAATTTCAGCTGTATATCTTGTAATTTTTTGTTTGTGTTAAATGTGCCAGTTGTGTTACGTTTGGGGTTGTCATCTCCAGGGCAATCCTGCAATCATTTGCTTTTTATTTTTTTTTCCAGAACATCAACTTTTATCTAATCTTTCATTATAGCCAATCTAAAGCAGCCCCCAAGCGGCTTTCCAAACATCACCCTGTTTTGCTTCATCGCAGCCCTTATCAACAGCTGATGTTTCTCATTTGCACATTCATCTGCTTCTTTTTTGCCCATCCTGCCCCACATGTAAACTGCATGAGCTGGGACCATGTCTTTCTTGAGCAATGCTGCGCCCCAGTGCCTCAGAGACTTGCCCACACAGGTACTCACTATTTGTTTGTTAAATTAATAAACTTCTCTGGACATAATTTTCTGATTTTTATCTTTAGATTGAAAAGTCAAGAGCAGCATGTTTTGCCCACTGCAGCTGGTCCTGATCCCAATGTTACTGGGTAAGTAGAAGCCAAGGAACCATGGGAGGTATTTGATTTCTCATAACTCTTGTGCATTTTTAAAAGGCTTTTTGTTTTGTTTTTGGTAGTTTTTAATTCCCTTTGATTTTTGGAAAATGAAAACCCTAGCCTGAAACTTCATGGTTTTACTGAAACAGCTGTTTTAGAAGCAGGTAGTGGGCTCTTTCTTGGGAAACTGAAACTTCTTGTTTCTATTAGTCACAGAATGTCTTCGGTTTATCCTGGATATTCTAGGACCTTCTTGTGTGTAAGAAAAAAAAAAATTTCTCTATGGCCTTCCTGCACTTTAAATTGTCTTCAAAACCACAGCTAGTCTCAGATCCAGAATTGAAATGACCAGAGACGCCAGAATCCCTTTCATTGTTTTCACTCGTAGCCATGCCAGCGCCAGCCTTCTTGCAGTTCCTCAAATGCCTGAGCTTTTTCCCAATATGGTGGTTTCCTTTGCCTGGAAGCTTGTTCCTCTCTTTGGCACCTCACACTAGTGAGCCTGCTTCCTTTCCCATTAAGATCCATTTTCTTCTGTGAAGCCTGCTAATGGACTCAGGCCATGTCTATACCTTAGGCAGGTGCTCAGGGCTGCTTCCTGTTGTTCATCTCCACTGCTAATTTTTTAAAATTCCCTTTTATCCCCTGCCTTTCTTCTTATTCCATGGCTATAACTCTATAGGAAGAAATACATGAATTAGGTGCTTTGCTCTCATTGCTTTTTTGTTTTTCTATTATTACTTTTTGAATTGTGGACAGTGAGCTAAACACTGACTTAGCAAAGAACACAAATAGGTTACCTTTGCTCCAGTTCTAGGCAACACAGAGTGTGCACAAATAGGTATTTGCCCATGTGTACACATACACCCCCCCACACAAATGGTATGTGTTAGAGAATTTTTTTCACAGAAACAGTGTTATAAGTATCTCAGAGCATTCTTAGATATTTCCACAGAGATGTGTGAAGCAACCTGCAGACTTTTGCTCTTCTTTCCAGTAAATTTCCAAGCCAATCCCTGCATGTAGTGGTTTGAAGGCATCATGGGGTTTATACTTTTGTGTGGAGAGATTTCCCTCCCTAAGAATATTTCCTTCTCTTCAGCTACTCCTCTACTAAGATCACCCCTCAGATCTCCAGACAGTAGTTTCCCTTTGCTTTGGTTGCTGCAGTTGCTTTCTAGTAGTCCTTCACTTAATTCTACATAATATTGAATTAAACTAAATTCACTTCTTGTACCTTTAACCACAAGTACAATTGCTCAACTGATCCTCACAGGAAAATTCCAAATGGTTGTTGGAGCTAATTTTGATTTCTTTCAAAATAACTCTTTCCAAAGGGTTTAGAGTTCATGTTTTCTTTTCTGTCCTCCCTACTGTGTGAGCCTGCTGTTGGGCAGGAAGTTAGCTGTCTTCTCTCAGGGAAACAGCTTGGATGAAAAGACTGGCACATTTTCTGTTCATTCCCATATGCGTTCTCTTGGCTCTTCTTTGATATAAACTGGGCAGCATCTAAATTTGTCTCTCTTGATTTTGTTGTCTCTATGCATGGAGCATGTCCTATGGAAACAGAAATATCCATAAAATGGTTTTCTCTTTCAGTGACCTCTTGGAATTCCTTGAGTAACATCAGATGATTATATGTGTGGGTGGGTGGGTGTAAGCCCATGTGTGCAAATGCCTCAAAGAGGAAAAGCTAGGGATGATGGCAAAGCTGGAGGGGGTAAGGTGGGGAAAAGGCAAACACAAAGGAATTTAAGGGGAAAGCTGTGCTCCACATTGGCCTACTTACAAAGGCCTGCTCAGTCAGAATTTGCCGACAAATGCAGAGGTAAACTTTTGTGAAGGAGCTAAAGAAAGGGAAAAGAGGAAGAAAACAAACAAAATACTGTGAGTTGGCCATTCAGATAGGGAACTAGTAGGAAATTTAAGAACAAGAAATATCCATTTCCTGTTTATGGTAAGTGAATTGGGTGACTAGTGATCCAAAAGGATGGACTTTAGGGTTTCCTTTGTTTCTTTTAAAAAGTTGGGAGATAGAATTCTAGAAAAGGGCAAGAGCCTAATTAGGGGAAAGGAGCCAGATAGCATTTATTGCAGTACAAAGTTTGCGGAACCCTTCTGACTTAAGCCATGCAGATAACTAGAGGATACCTCAATTACCTTTAGAGATTCCATGCTGGTTCAAGTGAGAGGCCTCTGAGCACTTGGTCCCTGTTGAGTCATCGAGGGAAGGGAGGTGGATAGTACTTGGTGACTGATGCTGATTTTTGTTACTAAAGGTATTTGTCTAAATGATTCATCCTCTTGCCTTTGATTCTATAGCTTGTTCCTTGGGCCTGAATGACTTTAGTGCTTCCCCCCCTGAACTCACAGTCCATGTGGGTGATTCAGCTCTGATGGGATGTGTTTTCCAGAACCTAGAAGGGAAACACGTGACCAAAGTAGACTGGATGCTGTCACCTGGAAAGCATGCTGAGGTAATGAAGAGCGCACCTCACTATATCCTAGAAGCCCCACATCTGTGGTTGTCAGGATGGTACTGCAGGAGGGAGAGAGAATCACTCATCAAGTACCATGAGATGGTGTTGTTGCAAGAGCTTGGGCTTTGGAGGTGTCCTAACTGGGATTCCTCCTAGCTTGGCCACTTGGCTGTGCAATCAGTGAGGCAGATTACCCAGCCCTGCTAAGCTTCAATTTCCTGATCTGTGTTGAGGAAGGTAGTTATGATAATGGCAATGCTTAACTTTCACGTAGTTGAGGGGCTAATTGGAGACATGCATGTGAAGTTCTTTTAGTTTCCTTCTTCTGTGCCTTTGTAGAGCCGTAAAGGTGGGTGACATGGATAATTCCTGTGGCTTCGACAAAAGACCTCTGAGCTAGGCATGAGGATGTTGTCACATTTATCTTTGGGTATGTGTGTGGGTGGGGGTGGGGGCGCACTCTTTCAGCATTCTACTGCTGCTTGAAGTACTAGGATTAGCAACTGCAACTGGCTGGGTGAGGGTCTCTCATGGAGCTCTTTGGATTAGGAAATAGTATTAAGCTTCATCAGAGATTCTGTGGAGCTACTTGGATGTAAGGATCATTTGTGAAATACATCCCAGCTAGTTTGCTATTAATAACAAAGTCCCAATGTTTGCAAATAAAATAATTTTTGCAACTCAGAGCACATTCTTTGTTACCCCTGCAGTGCTACTCTCACTCAAATTTTTATTACTATTTATTATCATGAGAGGGCTATAGCTATGGTATAAATAGAAATAAGGATCTTCCAGGGTTCCCCCTCTTAGCTTGTAACCATTTCCTACTCATAACTCCTTTTGTGTTAGAGGAGGGCAGAAATGGGAGGAAAGGCAGCCAGCATTTTGGGAACTCCAGCCCACAACACCAGAGGGATTACATCATGCAGTTAAATGCTATGAAATCTGGGGACCTTCAGAAAACAGGGTGAAATGAGAAGTGTTTTTCAAAAGTTGTGAATTTGAGCAGCTTGGGACACTGAGGCACAAGGATTGCGAGTTCAAAGCCAGTCTCAGCAACAGTAAAGCCCTAAGCAACTCAGTGAGACCCTGTCTCTAGATAGAATACAAATGGAATTTGAAATAGGGCTGGGGATGTGGCTCAGTGGTTGAGTGCCTCTGAGTTTAATCCCTGATAGCCCCCTTCACTGCCAAAAAGAGTTGTGAGTTTGAATCTCCAGAGTGATCTTCAGAGTCGTTGTAGCATTGATTCCTTTAGCTGTAAGAAATAAAAATGTGTGCACTGTATTTCCCTTTGCCTTTGTGGAAAATGAGCCACAGAGCTTGTGTAAGCTAGGATGTTGCCTGGCATATTATTACCATTGATTGGCTACAAAGAACACTTTATTCATGTATGATGATGATAACTATGCCACCTCCTCATAACGGGGTCTTTTGACTACAGATTCCTAGGTCTAGTTCCTCTTTGGATTTTCTCTAACACTGTCTGTGTTGCCCTCCAGGATGAATATGTGCTATACTATTATGGCAACCTCAGTGTGCCTGTGGGGCGCTTCCGGAACCGTGTGTTTTTGGCAGGAGACCTCCTACAAAAAGATGGTTCTCTGCTGCTCCAAGATGTGCAACAGGCTGACCAGGGAACCTACACCTGTGAAATCCGCCTTGAAAGCGAGAGCAAGGTGTTAAAAAGCAAAGTGGTGCTGCATGTGCTACCAGAGGAGCCCAAAGGTATGGGGATGCTTAGATGAGGCTGAGGACAAGGGGCAAGGGTACTGATTTCATGGAGCAAATGCCAGCCTTTGGCTAAGTAGTTACCACCAAGTGAGTCTTGAATAAATGATAATTATTTTATTAAATAAAAATCATAATAATTATACTTTAAACATATTCTTCCTCACAAAAGTCCCGTGAAATGTTTATTATTTTTTCCATTTTACATGTGGTAACTGAGGCTTAGAGAAATTAAAGTGACTTGCCTAAGGACACATTTATTAAATGACATAAGCTGTACTTAAGCCCTGGTGCCTCTGACAACAAAGTCCATGTTCCTTTCACTTTTCCTTGACATTTCCTATCTATCAATTAACCACTTTGATGCCAATCCATATTTTATAGCTACCTATGTTAGGTGTCCTGTAGGTTATAAAAGAAGTGAATAGATTTCTCTAAATTTTTTTTTAATTATTAAGTTGTACTTTTTAAAATATCTTTTTTTTTATTGTTGTTGTTTATTTTTTATGTGGTGATGGGGATTGAACTCAGGACCTCATGTGTGCTAGGCAGGCACTTTACCACTGAGCTATCTCCCCAGCCCCTTCTCTAAATTTTTAACATCTCATTTTCCCACTCATAAATGGAGGAAGTGGCTTCAGTAGATCAGTGTTTTTTTTTTAAAAACTGTTCCTTTGTAGATGCCTTAAGCTCCAAGGAACTGATAGCACAGAGGGTGCTATCTGAGGGGCATGGGTTGGTAGAAAACCTACTCAGGTAGGACCCCAGCTTCCACCTCCATTGCAACCAAAGTCCTTTTCCTTTTCCTGTTTTGTTTATTGAGCTGCCAGGTCAGATTTTGTTTGAAGAAAGAATTCTGTATCTTTAAAGTAAGATTGTGATCTGTGGTGACCCAAGTCATGGAAAGACAGGCATTCAGAAAGTTCCTTCTTCTCTCTGACTAGGTATTAGCTGGAAGGAATGCAGTTGAGACTGCAATCAAAGAAGGCATTATGCTTCCAGAACAGTCTCAAGAACAAGTATTTTAAGCAGCAGCAGTAGCTGCTGGATTGGTCTCTAAAGCAGAGGTAGAGAGGGTCAACCAGTAGGGTGGAAGCTGAAGCTTTAGTTCTTCTCCAGAAGAGCATGAAGGCACCAAAGTAGTGGTAAATAACAAGTATTCCTTCTTATTTAGCGAGAGCAACATTCTTGGAAAATAGGTAGACTAGAAAACAGCACCACTGAACAGCATCATGCATGATTACCCATTCCACTAACATTCTGAAATCTTTCATCATGTAAATAATTTTTACTCTTTTATAATGAACTAATGATATCCAAACTAATAAGAGTCAATGTCTCTAAAATTTAGTTTATTGTATTGATCTCCAAACAAAAATATGTAAATTAAAAGTGTTTGAAAGTCATAGGACAAGATGCATTCATTACCAAGTGTGGTGTAGAAGGAATAGTCTGTGGCCTCAGGGAAGCTTGCTATCTAGGTAAGGAGGGAGATCTGGGTCTCCCTCTACTGCTGGCTTAGATCCAAAGCTCCTCAGCTCCACCAAAGAGCTCCTCTGGAACACCCTGCCTTCCTTCCTCTTTCAGAACACCCACCACACCTGTTCATTTGTATCTTCCCTGCTTCTCTGTTTCTATTCATCTGTGACCAGCTCTGGGCATAGCACCTGGTACAGGGAAAGCAATCAATAAACATCTGTGTAAAGATGAAATTCTTTAAACATCTCTCTGAGCCTGATTTCTAAAAAGAGTTATAGAAGGTAGTCTCTGGCACCTCCCCTCATGTTTCCTACTTTTTCTCATTGAAATTTTTCTCTTAATTCCAAAGCTATGGTTCTTCAAGAAAAGGAGGAAGGTCAAATGCTAGTATTTCTCAAGGTATTTCTCTTTAAAGTTTTTTTTTTTTTTGGTACTGGTGATTGAAACCAGAGCCTTGCCCTTGCTAGGCAAGTGCTCTACCACTGAAACTCATCCCCAGCATTTTTAAAATTAAAAAAAATTTTTTTTTTTTTAGTTGTAGATGGACACAATATTTTTATTTTTATTTATTTATTTTTATGTGATGCTGAGGATTGAACTCAGGGCCTCACAGGTGAGAGGCAAACTCACTACTGAGCTACAACCTCAGCCCCACTTTTTAAAATTTGAGACAGGGTCTCACTAAGTTTCCCAGGCTGATCGCAAACTCATAATCCTCCTGACTCAGCCTCTAAGTCTCTGGGATTACAGGCATGTGCTACCCTACCAGGCCCCAAGGATACCTTTATGCTTCCTTTTTCTGTCTTCATTCTTTAGTGCTATTATTTAATGCCTAAACACTTGTCTAGACAAGCATAGCCTTCAAAATGGGTGCCTCTTCCCGCTTTGAGATACAGTGGGAGCTTAAAAAGGAGCCAATCTCAAGAGTTGAAGAAGCCCTGAAAACATGCTAGAACCACATTAGTCATATATTTCCCCAGTAGTTGGTAAAGCAGCTTGAATTTATCTTTCCCTTCCAATTATAATGGGACCATATACAACCCCTCACAATTTTTCCCTGTGTCCCAGTAAGAACTTGCTTTATGGAGGTTGTCTTTTTCCATGTGGAAACTCCTTTTTACAGTCATCTATAATTTTCTCTGCAAAGGTAATCCTTCAGTTTATAATTTTTATTAATGATTCTAATACTTTTTCAGTTATTTTAAATACTGATAGGTTAAAAGTAATAAATTAATAATATTAACTTCCTGTAATTTTCTAGAATCAGCCACCCTTCTACTTGTGTGAGATGGTACAGTCTGTGAGTGAAAGAACAAAGAGTTTGTTTTTACTTATTGGGCCTGGATTTGAGTGCTGGTTCTATCCTTTACTGGCCGTGTGGCTTTGGGCTCTTTCACTTTGCTCTTCTGCAAAATGGGAAGTGATATAGACGTCTAAAAATACTGTATGACTAACTGATAGACTAGGTATAAAGTGTCTAGCATGTGCTTGGTGCATTAAAAAGACTTAGAATGTTCAGTTAATATTATTTAAAAAGATAGTTCAGCTCTTAATGTGCTGATAAATTCAGAGGGAGGCACCTTCCCTACTGGTATTTTTGGGAATCAATTTTGATTGCTTTCAAAATAATTCCCTCTATTGAATTTAGAATTCATAATATTTTCTTTTGCTTTCCTCCCATTGTGCACATCTCCTGCTGGGCAGGATGTTCATGTTCTCCCAAGGAAAGGGTTTAGATGAAAAGTGGGCTATGCACTCATGGGCTTTTCTCAATGGTCCTTTGAAGGAACTCTCTCTAGATAAGACCTAAGCTTGTGTCTCCCTATATGCCCTTAATCAATTCTTTTTTTAAAAAAAATTTAATTTGTTTTAATTAGTTATTCATGACAGTAGAATGCATTTATGCACTTTGATATATCATACATAGATGGGATATAATTTCTCATTTTTCTGAGTGTACATGTTGTAGAATTATATTGGTCATGAAATCACATATATTCTTAAAGTAATAATGTCTTTCATTGTCTATCTTTTCTATCCCTAGATCCCCTCCCCTCCCCTCTCTTCTCTTTCCTCTACCTAATCTAAAGTAATGCTAATCTTCTCTAGTGACCCCCGCCTTATTGTGAATTAGCATCCACATATTAGAGAAAACATTGAGCCTTTAGTTTTGGAGGATTGGCTTATTTAACTTAGTATGGTATTCTCCAATTCTATCCATTTACTGACAAATGCCATAAATTTCTCTCTTCTTTAAATCTGAGTAATATTCCATTGAGTATATATACCACATTTTCTTTATCCAATCATCCTTAATCAATTTGTAATCAACTTTGTGATTGATTTGTATAGGGCATTTGGAAAAATCAGAAACATGTGTCTACTTGTTTTCTTTTCAGGGACCTCTTGAAATGACTCACAATGAACATATGGTGGGGTCAGCTGCTCATAAAAATAGGCAGCAGAAAGAGCCCAGGAGTAGAAAAGTGAGAAGCAGTAGAGAGGGGTCAAGTGGAGAAGGTAGGGGTAGGGGAGGGCAGGGTTGGAATAGAATGAAGAGTCTAGGGGAAAACTGTCTACTGTCTTGTCCTACTTTGCAAAAGTTTGGTGACCTATACTGAAACCAGAACTAGGTCCTAAGCAAATCCTAAGACAATTTGTAAAAGAATAAAAGAATTTGAATAAAGTTACCCTTGATTCATTTTTTTAAGCTCGGAGAACCAGTGGGTTAAATATAAGAATGAAGGTTTTATAACTTTCCACTTCCTGTTTATGCTAAGGAGATGTAGGTATCTTAAGTCGATGAACAGAAAGTGGGACTTCAAGATTTTCCGTACATCCTTTAGTACAGACTTGATGTGAAGTTAGAATTCATGGGAGGAATTCTGAAAAGAAGGAAAGAGAAAGGAATTAAAGGGTACCAGAAAGAATTTATTGCAATATGAAGACAGCAGAAACCTCAGACCTGCCATTTATAGGCAGTTAGAGGGTATTTCTTACTCTTGGGGATGCCATGTTGGTTTGAGTGAAGGGCCTCTGTTACTTTGACCACATGGAATCATCTGGATTATCTATGGAGGGAATATGTACAGTGTTTGGTGGTGACAGTGATTTTTGCTGTTGAGGGTCTTTGGCTAACATTCTCTAGAAATTCTTTTACTTCTACAAATTATATTTTGAGCCTAACTTGATTTACTGTTTTATCCCCAGAGGTCACGGTCCATGTGGGTGATTCAGCTCTGATGAGATGTATTTTCCACAGCACAGAAAAGAAACGCCTGACCCAGGTAGACTGGATGTTTTCTTCAGGAGAACATACCAAGGTAGGAGGAGGAAGCATCACCATGTAGTAGAAGCCTGTGGCTGGTGGCAGGACAGAGCTGGGAGAGGGACAGTCAGTTGTCAGATGCATGAGGTGGGTGGCATTACAAGAGCTTGGGCTTTAGAGCTTGTTGAACATAGACTCCTAATTCAGCTGCTTGGCTGGGCAGCTTTGGCTTCCTAGTGGGAAATGTGACACTAATGGAGAAGAAGATAATGAGGATGATGTTTAACTTTTAAGGTTGTTAAGACACTGGCGTGAGTACATAGATGTAAAGCATTTTGCACATGACTTAGCCAAGGCATCTTGGTTTCCTTCTTCTCTTTGTAGAGTTCATGGGAGAATGAAAGGGATGATTTCTCTTGCCTAGCCAGGAAAGCTATGGAATAAATATAAGAATTTGATTACTTTCTTATTCTTATTGGGATTGTTTTGTGAGTTTTGGTTTGTGTTCCATTGTTCCCTTTATGTGATAGAGGGAATTTTCCTTTTTTTTTTTTTCAAGTGTTGGGATTGGTGGATCCTGGGGGCTGGGTGAGGGTCATTTCATGGGAACTCTGTAAAGCCATAAACAGCAAGTTAGTTCACTAGACTAGTAGATCTTCACCATGATATGTGGTGATGTATTTATGGATGACGCTGTGTGTGAGGGGCATTCTGGGTAACTTATTATTAATAAAAGTTAAGGTACAAGGTTTATAAAGGCTTTTACTTTTATAAATTAAAACATATGGTAGTCATCCCTCTAGCAAGATAATTTGCACTCCCTTGATTCCTATATGATGATTGAGTGGGTCAGAAAGGATAGCATTATGGAGTAGGGGGAATTACATGTCATGCATTTTTTTCTTTTTTTGTACCAGGGATTGAACCCCCAGGGGTTTAACCACTGAGCCACATCCCTAGCCCTTTTTAATATTTTATTTAAAGATAGGGCCTCTTGCTGAGTTGCTAAGCCTGGCTTTGAACTTGAGATCCTTTCTTTCTCTGCCTCCTGAGCTGCGGGGATTATAAGTGTGTGTCATTGCACTGGGCTGACTTTATTATGCATTTAAATGTTGTCCATCAAATGATTCGCCGCAGAAGGAGATGGGAGGTTTAAGGGCCAGATCTCTCCATATGTGTTTGTGTCTGTATGCCCAATACCTTTTCTTAAAAGCTTAAAGAAATTTACATACCTTTATAAAAAAAATTCTAACACTCCTTTGCTTAAATATTTTTTAAGCATTTACTGTGTGATAAACACTCAAAGCCCCTGTCCTGATGCAGGACTTGCAATCAAGATAATGGGGAGATAATAAAATGGCAAAGAATAAATAACATTGAGTAATAGTTAGTGCTATAGAGAACCATTAAGCCGAGTTTTGTGGTTATTTTATATGTGTGACACTTAAGCAGTAGTCTGAAGGCAGTGGGGGTGGGTGAACCACGAGTATGTCTGGAGGAAGCGTCTCAGTCATCGGGAGTGGCAGTGAAAGGCTCTAAGACCAGGACTCAAGGAGCAGCAAGGAGCTGATGGAGGAAGAGAAAGTAGAAGATGAAACCCAAGAGGAAAATGGGACCGTCAGTTTGTGAAGGGCTTTTTACTTTAAGTAGAAATGAAGGGCCATGGGAAGGTTTTGAGCAGAGAAGTGAAAGATGTAACTTAGGTTTTTAAAGGCTCAACTACTGAGAATAGATTGTAGTGAAGAATACGCAGAGAGGCCAGTAAGAAAGTCCTGTGGGAACCTGTGTAAGAGATGCAAAGGAGGCTTGGACAGCAGGAGGTGAAAAGTGGCTGGGGTCAGAATGTATCCTGAAGGTAGAGGTGATCAGAGTTTCTGAGAAGTTAGATGCAAATTCTCCAAGAAAGAGAAGAAATTAAGGATGACCTTAATTTTTAGCCTGAGCCTCTGGAAGAAGCCATGGCCATGGCTGTTTACCAGTGTGATGGACTGAAGGAACTGGCTTAGGGGAACAATTAGGAGTTCAGTTTTAAATGTTTCAGGTACCTATTGGAAATCGAACTGGAAATGCCAAAAAAGTGAACATGTAACTGGGCGTGTTGGTGCAGGCCTGTGATCCCAGCAGGGTTCAGGAGGCTGAGGCAACAGGATTTCAAGTTCAAAGCCAGCTTCAGCAACTTAGCAAGACTCTAAGCAACTTAGCAAGACCCTGTCTCAAAATGAAATATAAAATGGCCTGGGTATATGGCTCAGGGATTAAGTTCCCCTGGATTTAATCCCCGGTACTAAGAAAAAAAAAAAAAGGAACATGTGCTCTTACTTTTTTTTTTTTTTAAACTGGAGAAGTGCAAAACAAAAGCCCTTTATTCCCACTTTAAAAAAAAAAAAAACAAAAACAAAAAACCTTCTCTTCTGAGGAAACAGCATGCATGATTTCATGATGCTCTTCATAAGCACATAGATACTTATATGTGTGCACTTGAATTGCTGTTATCTAGCACATATACACACATGTGTGCACACAACTTTGTTGCATAACACTAATATGCACCTGTGTGTGCCCAACCTTGAGTTACCTAACACTTTCTGAGGCCTGAGATCGTCCTCCCTCCCGGCTTCCCCACATCCCCTTGCTGCCAGTCCTCCAAAGCTCATGCTTTTGCCTTTCCCTTCCAGGAAATCGTCTTACACTATGACCTCAAATTCCACTTTCCTGAGAGATACTTCCCTTATCAGGGTCGCTACCAGAACCGTGTAAACCTGGTGGGAGACATTTCCCACAACGATGGTTCCATCATGCTCCAAAGAGTGAAAGAGTCTGACGGAGGAATCTACAACTGCAGTATCCACCTGGGGAACCTGCTGTTCAGGAAAACTCTTGTGCTGCATGTGACTACGGAAAAGTCTCAAAGTATCTAACATTTGATTGGAGAGGGCTGAGGGACCTTAGCTGGTAGCAGGGCCAGGACTTGAGTGAGTAGAAAGGTTCCTAGGCTGAAAAAGGGAAGGGGCTTGCTCCTAGGTACTCATTGTGGGCCCGCCCCGCCCTGAGAGTGCTGCCTCCTTCACCATGACTCCTTAAGGGCCTGGCTTCCCTTGCCCTGGTTTTGGCACTGCTGCAGGGCTGAGGAAAAGGGAGCTAATGTATAGACCACCAACCCTATGCCAGTGTATACTACTACTGCAAAGATTCAAGAGCTCAGACAGCTTGGAATTGAGGTCTAAAACCAATTTTTTTTTGGCTTAAAGGGAGTCACTGTGTGCTCTGTTATGGTAGGAAAAATGATCCTGAGCTGGTGAGAGATAGCAAGGAACAAAGAGAAAACAGGAAGGTACAAAGCCCAAAATGGAGGGGTTTTCTGGCATACAATGTGCATCCAGGCCAGTGGTGTGTAGGAAAAGAAAGAGTCAATTGTGTTGACTGAGAGAGGTTGATAGTGAGGAGTTAACGTTAAACCATAACTTGTTTAGCAGTCAGGATGTGGCCTGTGGACTTTGCTGGGGCCTTCAGGAGCTGACTGCGGTTGACTGGGGGTGGAGAGGTAGGGGTAGGATGGTACATACCAGAACCTCAGGCTGGGGGCTTAAGTCTGTGGATTCTTATTAATAGCAAAGGTCCCAGCTGGAGAGGGAAGTAAGACAGATGCATCTCTTAAAGAATTACCATCTCTATATGTGCTTCACTCTCAGAATTCTTACCACCTTCTCACAGAGAAAATCAAGCCATGGTGGGGGCTCATTCACTTCCAAGCCTTTCTACACATGAGTATCTGTTCCTGATCTTATCTCTACCCACTGTCATGAGGCAGAAGAAGCTCCCTTCTGCCCTGGGCTTATCCTGTTCTGTGCTTCTGTTATCCTCTCCCTCCCAGGGACCTCACACCAGGGATCTTTGGGCTCTTGTGTCTGTTGGTTTCAGCAGTTAAATATGCTTAATTCTTCCTCTTACCTGAGTCCTTACCTATTCTAGCTCTCATCCTGAATCTTTATTTTTTTAAAGCAGCTTTATTGATATATATTTCATATACTGTACAATTCACCCAAAGTATAAAACAGTGGTTTTTAATACATTCTGATTTGTGCAACCATCACAATAATCAATGACAGTTCTTTCTTAACATAGCCAACTAGCTTATAAGGGGCTGCACTGGGTATCTTCCTGGCTCATCTCCCATTAACTTCTCGCTGCACCACATTCTGGCTTCAGCTATCTTTACTCTAGCCTTCCTCAGCCTTCTTTCCCATGTAGTGTTGGATGCTCTATTATGTATACATTCTATATTGGATGTAATTAATCCACTTATATATGTGTCCCTTGGTGTTTCGGGAAGTTGGTTCCAGGACTCCCCACAGATAACCAAAATCTGTGGATGCCCAGTTCCTTTTATAAAATATTGTAGTATTTGCATATAACCTATGTACCTACTCCTGTGTACTTCAATTCATCTTCAGCTTACTTATGACACCTAATTCTATGTAAATAGTTGTTATATTGTATTACTTAGGGAATAATGACTAAAAAAGTCTGTACATGTCAGTACACATGCAGTTTTCCCCCCAGTCATGTACATTTGATTGAATCCATTGGGGAGGACCCCAGGGGTATGGAGGGTTGGGGTGTGTGTGTGTGTGTGTGTGTGTGTGTGTGTGTGTGTGTGTGTTTGTGTGTGTGTATTTCAACTCCACCAAAATTTTTCACAGATCCTTCAAATACTACATGTCCACACCTACCCTTGTGTACCTCTTCAAAGCCCATCTCCCCAACCTGTTAATTTCATCATTATCTACACATTTGTGAAAACATATGACCCTTCTGAGTTTGGCTTATTTGCCTTACATAATGCTCTCAAGTTTCATCCATTTCTGAAAATAGCATAATTTCATTCTTTATTATGACTGAATAAAACTCCATTGCCACTGCCATCTTTTTAAGTCACAAATCAGAAATTCTGTTCTATGGCTTATAATCTTGCAGTAGTTCCTCTGTTGATTACAGAAAAAAAAAGAAGAGGAAGAAGAAGGAAGAGGAGGAGAAGGAGAAGGAAGAAGGAGAAGGAGAAGGCGAAGGAGAAGAAGAAGAAGAAGAAGGAGAAGAAGAAGGAGAAGAAGAAGAAGGAGAAGAAGAAGAAGAAGAAGAAGAAGAAGAAGAAGAAGAAGAAGAAGAAGAAGAAGAAGAAGAAGAAGAAGAAGAAGAAGAA